GGCGCCAATGGATCATCCTTCATTACTTTCTTAATTCTGATTGGTTGAATGTTCTAGTACTCCACCCGTTCAAAATATTCTGGGCTTCACATCGTAGATATAAAAATTTAGGTAAAATATAATTAATAGATAATTAAAAAATATCTTAATAAAAATAATTATTATTTAGTAAAAATAAATACTTCTTCCGTCTTATAATAAATATTTATTTATTTTTTACATGTAGTTTTAGAAATATTAATATTATATTAAGACGTAGCAAGAATAAATTAAAAATGATTAAAATAATCTTATTAGTATGTGTGATATAAAGGTAATGACATTTATGTAATATATTGTAAATTGTAAGCGTATTTGTAATGTTAGGTAGATAGTACAGTTACTAAAAAAAAGAAATTGATACTTTTGTTATTGGTCGGACTAAAATGAAAAAAATAAATACTTTGTTGTGGGACGGAGAAAGTATATATTAAGATTAAGATTAATAAATAATTTAATTAAAATTAAAAAAATTATAAATTTTAAAATTTAAAATAAAATTAAAGTGCATAATTATATTTATATTAGATAAATAAAAATAAAAAATAGAAACAAATTATATGAGACGGACGAAATATTATTTTTATTTTTATTTTAATGTTGTATTTCTATGCTGTGCTGTTCTGTTAGGATTCCAATGCGATGATGATGTGAGTAATCACCTTTTCTCGTAGTTCATACCACCTCTACTCCACTCTTTTATTTTATCATAGTCTAACTACAATTGAGCGTGTTTGTTTGAAGGATTTGTGATGATTGACACTATTTATATAAATTTTTTTAAAAAAAATATATTTAATTAAATATTTATTTTTTTAAATATTATATTAAAAATTAATTTTATATTCAAAACATTACATCAATATATATTTATATCACATCATACAATTATTCAAATTCAAATTTTTTACTATTCACGTAATTTGTTGATGGCTAACAATTGTGTGGTACTACATTCTTCAGTTTAAATATAGTACTGCCTCCGTCCCACATACCGTGTCTACTACACTGTAGAAACAGTATTTTATGAGGGATATAATTAGTAGATAATTAAGAATATATTAGTGAAAATAATTATCCTATAATATAAATAATTATAAATTAAGATTAAGATAGCTAATTAGTTCAATTAAAATTTAAAAAAAAAATTAAAAATTTTAAAATGAGATTAAAGTGTATAATTATTTTTCCAAAAAAGGAAAGTGGCATGGTATATAGGACGGACAGAAACGGCAACGTGAACATGGTATGTGGGACGGAGGGAGTATTATTTTATTTTACAAATATGTTATACTCCCTCCGTCCCACTTCTCATGTCCACCTTTCCATTTTCATCTGTCCCACTTATTTTGTCACTTTCTTTTTTTGAAAATAATTATACACTTTAATCTTATTTTTAAAAATTTAATTTTTAATTTTTTTTAAAATTTAATTATACTAGTCAATTATCTTAATCTTAATCTATAATTATTTATATTATACGATAATTATTTTCACTAATACATTTTTAATTATTTACTAATTATACTCCTCCTAAATTCTCGTGTATACAATAACGTGGTCAAATTATCCGAGACGGAGGGAGTATTAATTACTCTTTCATTCGCAATACGGTGTCCTGTAAATATGAAAATTTAAAAGGAGTATAATTAATAATTAATTAAAAATATATTAATAAAAATAATTATTACTTAATAAAAATAATTTAAAATTAAGATAACTAAAAAAAGAAAAACAACCGAATAAATAGAATAGAAATGGAAAAGTGGCCACAATAAATGGGACGAAGACAATATTATTTTATAACAAATATAAAACACATATAGAAACTAATCCCCTTTGTATATTAGTCTCACTATTGTTCAATCCTTGATATTCAATCAATGTTACTAAATTTCAATTTTTAATTAAATATATTATTAACAAATTAAATCAAAATATTAAAAATATAGCACAAACTAGGACCCAATTTCATTAAAATTTGAGTTTGAGTTTAAATTTTGTGAATAATAAAAATTTTAATTACAAAAGTGTTTAGTAGTTTAATGAATAAAAAAAATTAATTAATAATGCAAGACTAAATTTAAATTTTAAAACAAATGCCCTATCAAACCCATATTGACTCGGTCAATCAAATATTTTACCTATTCCGCAATTACAATTTAATGTAATATAGGAGAGGGAAAGAGATCGTCTCCATAGAGATTGTGTTATTCACTCTTTCGTCTTCTAATGCAGTAAATATAAAGAGAATTTTCTTTTATTATCTAATGAAAATAAAATTACAAAGCAATTAAATTAAAGAGGAACCGACTATCAAGGGGATGTCTGGCTCAAAGGGTGATGCAGTTATGTCACTTGTGTTTTATCATTAATTCAATAAAGTTAATTCTTATTAAAGTATTAATAAATTTGTTATAGTTATCAACAAGCTCTGACAACCAATTTTTTCTTACAGTGTAGTAGGTAATCAAGGTACGACCATTAATTACCCCTAATTAAGCAAATAAACATAGGTGTGCCCAAAAAAAATATTGTCTAATCGCATTCTAATTTAGAAAAATCCAATTCAAAACAATTACTAAATAAGATGAGCAATTAGATTTGATTGTCTAACCCCCGTGAATGAACTATTCAACTCGGTTATCACCTATTCAAGTGCGAATACAATTACGGATATCCTACCTAAACTGACTTTAGATTATCATACTAATTCAAATATCGGTACCAAAATATTCAATCAATCTAACAATTACAAACGTTATTCTCAAAATTAGATAAATATTGATAATAAAAAGAACTTTTACGAAGAAAATTAAGAATCTCCAAAACAAAAGAACCAAAATATTATCACCCGTCAAACCAGTATCTATTCCATAATCAAATAACAAAGAATAAAAGAGAAAATAAAGTCATAGTGGGAGAGGAAAGTCTTCTCTGTCGATTTGCTCATGCGCTATCTATGAGTGTCAGTCTTCTACTCTTGTGTGCGTATGTGGTCTGACCGTTCTCATCTATTCTGCGTGTGATCCTCCATTTTTATGTAAAGAGGTTATAGGCCATGACTAACTAGGTCGTGCATACTTTCTTCTGCCAATTACGCCAAATTTGATATTTGCCCTCTGCACACACAAATAAACAATATTCATATAAATTAGATAGAATTCAATCAAAATCAATCAAATATCTCATATGATATAAACATAAAACGCATCACTTACACAACCTATAAGTCTGTCATTTTGATTTTGATTTGAATATAATATTTTAAAAAATATATATATATATATTGAATAATATTTTATTAAAAAAATAATATATATTTTTAGGGAGAATTATAATTATTATATATTTTAAAAAAAGTAAACTTAAAACTCTAAAAAGAACAAAGAGTGCAACTTTTAATCAAGGCCCTTGAAGTTGTCACTCGCACCTAAAAGTCGCACTTTCAGGCCATGTGAGTGTTTGCATAACTTCTTTTATTCCTTTTGTTTTTTCAATTTTTTTTTTATTTATTATTTTTTTTTCATCGTATTATTTTACTGGTATTGTTTTTTTCAAAGGACTATTCGTAGTTTAAATTTACTTTAACTGAATTAAAGTGTATATATATATATATCGTTTAAACCCGCGCTATGCACGGAATTATTATAATTAAATTTAATTATTATATTATTTTTATTTAACTTTATTAATATTTAAAATAAATAAAAAATATTTATATATATCTTTAACTAAATATGTATAAAGAGAAATTATTTTGTAATTATAATTTTATTGTTAATAATTTACTAAAGAAAATTTGCAAAAGAAGAATTGATCATATTAATTATAAAGATATATAAAAATACATATTAAATTATTTATACAAAGTAGATACTAAAAATAAAATTTATAAGATTAAAGTAGAATTTTATTATATTTTTTAAAATTTATTGTACAAAATTATAGAAAAATTGAGTAAAAACAATGTGAAATGTTAATTTCAATTTTTTTTATAAATTTTAAATTATTATTTCATATGACATGATGTACATAATCTATCAAATATTAATCTTATAAATAAATTAATTAATTTATAAGGTTAAAGTAGAATTTTATTATATTTTTTAAAATTTATTGTACAAAATTATAGAAAAATTGAGTAAAAAAATGTGAAATGTGAAATGTTAATTTCAATTTTTTTATAAATTTTAAATTATTATTTCATATGACATGATCTACATAATCTATCAAATATTATTTCTAATAAATAAATAAAATTTTTCATAAAGTCACCTAAATATAATTATTAGTTAGTAAAATAATATAATAGATTATAATAATTAATAAAAAATATATAAAATAAACTTATAAGTGTATAGATAAAATAAAATTATAACATCAAACTATCAATATTTATAACTACAATCGAAAGTGTCAATAATTATTATTTATTTTTAGATTTAAATAAATGAAAAAAGTTATATTATATGTAAAAATATTTTTAATTAGAAAAATTATGTAAAACAATTATATAACTTAATATTTTATTATCTTATTAGTTTTTTAATAGTTTTATAATTTTTTAAAAACATCATAGTATTATTATTTTTTTTATATCTGCTTCAAAAAAATAAATTAATTTGTAATTGTAACATTATTATTAGTAATCAAATAACGTTTAACAAAAATAAAATAAAATACACACACATAATATATAGAAATAAATACAAATTTTCAGACAATTTTTTCAATGACAACGGCACCTACAGACCTACTAAAACGAATATAATCAATTTGTATAAAATAGAAAAAAAATATGAGAAAGAGATGAAAATATTTATTTGAAAAATAGAATGGAAAAAGAAAATGCAAAAAAAATAAAATAAAATTGAACTATACATATAAATATAGGCATCTATTTTTTTTTTCAAATATTGTAAAATAATATAAATAAATTTATATTATGTTCAACTTCAATCAACGACAATAATTAAGACGATGAACAATTTCCGATGTCCACATAGCACTCTCTTTGGGTATAAATGAATATTACCTAATGAATACAAATATACACAAATTAGACAGTGAAAAAAAAAAAAACTATATTACGGCCCAAATTTAAAATAAATTGAAATTATAGCAAAAAGAATAAATAAAAATCAAGAGATTAGAGTGAAAAAACCCAAACAAATATATAATTGATTGGTGAAGATGGTGACAGTCTCTTCTAGCAGCGGTGGATCTCATCTCATCTTCTTCTTCTTCAAATGTTCACCATATACAAAATCTATGGTAAAAATAAATCAAGAGATTAGAGAGAAAAACTCAAACAAATGTAAAATTGATTGGTAAAGAATATGGAAAAACAAATGAGATGTATCTACTGTGATCTTCTTCTTCAGTACAAATTTGTCTCCCGTGTGATCTTCTTAGTCTATGATGATTTGTTTTATAAAATTTATATTGACTAAATCTGAAAAAAAAATAAAATATATTTTTCTCATATTAAAAATTAAATCTAAAACCACTCATTACCCATTATACAAACTGTTAAACACTAATTTCAAAACAAAAATTATCTATACTAAATTTTAATTTTTTTTCCTAAAAAAAAACTTATAAATTAAAAAAATAATTTATAAACTCCAAAAAAATGAGGAATCTGCGGCGTGGAGTCCACACCTTTGTGTTATATATAGGATATATAAAAAAAACATCCACTTCTAAAACTCACTTTTTTCTTTTTATAATTAAAATTTTTACTTTCAAATTATATTAAAAACAAAATAAGGGTGTTGATAATTTATAAGGAAAAAATATAGAAAATTAGCATTGTACTGATTTTTTAAATCAATATACATGAAATATAAAAGTAGTATATAATTTTATTCACAATTTATTTTTGTTACATGCTAAAATCAACAATAGCATGTTAGTTAATGCATGAATATATTATATCTTTTATATTATTTTTTCAAAATTATATTAATAAAAAATTTGATGAACAAATCATCTAATGTAAATGTTTTATAAATTAAAAATTAAAACTAAAGTCAACCCTAAAGATTTGAACTCAAGATTTTACTATGGTAGATCTACCTACATCACTAAGTTATATATTTTAATATTTATATACATCAAATAAATCATATATATAAAAACTATACACATATAACATAAATATATAACAAACTCCTATCGATATTGAGTTCTGAGCGACGTTCCTCTCCAGAACCGGCCTTGCTCCCTCCGCCCATTTAAAAATAAATATTTATTTTTTTTTTCATAAAATTTAATAAATATTGTATTATAATTATAGTTGATGATAATTTTAATGTGTAAAAACTATTTTACCATTAGATGTGTAAAACTAATGTAAAAATATTGATGTAAATAAGTATAGATATAGAGATATTTGTAATGTATAGTGGATCCATACATATTAAAAAAGATAAAATATTTTATATTTGACCAATAAAAAATGACAAAATATATAACTATCAAGTGAACAAAAAAAAAATATTACTCACTCCTTCCCGTATGAAGATTACTGTTTACTTTTTGCACGTAAATATTTTAATATTAGTATTATATTGAATTACAGTGAAAAAGACAAAAATACCTTTATTAGTATTGTTTAATATAAAAATAATGACATTTGTGTAATATAGTGTAAGTTGAAAGAGTATTTATTACGTTAGTACAATTATTAAATTAAAAAATAATAATCTTATTTTGGAACAGACAAAATTGAAAAATGACAACGAATAGAGTATTTTTTAAAAAAACAAAAAACAAAAAAAGCTTTTATTTTACATCAACAAAAATATATAAATTGAAAAAACCTAAAAATATGTAAAATATTTTAAAAATGAAATTAGGAGAATAATATTGGAGTTGGAGATCCACAAACGACAAAATATACAACTGCAATAATGAATACATCACTCACCCATTATTTGCACAAGTACTTTCTACACAATTCAAATATCCAATCAAAACCACGTTTTATTTCACAAACCTTTATGATTAAATATAGATTTCTTCTATATTGCCTCTGTTACACATAAAATTTCCATTGTTTTTCTATAAAATTTGTCAATTTTTTTTTTAAAAAATATAATTATATATTTTAAAATTAATAATTAAATTATTTAATTATAATTAATTTTAATTAATAATTATTTTTACTAATATATTTTAAATTAATTATTAATTATAATTTATCTAAAGTTTCATATCTACAGTAATATGAACACTTTTTGTGGGACATGTGAAGTAACAACTATTATTATTAATAAAAAAAATTGTTCATATATTTTACATACAAACACCCTATTTTTATATTTTGAAAATTAATAAGGTATATTTATTTTGTGAAATAATTTAAATAAATATTTTTTATATGAATATAAAAAATTGTATACAAAATATAAAAATAATAAATATATATATTTTTAAACCACTCAAATAGCATAACCAAAATGTACCCAAAGTATATTAAAGATGCATCATTCCCTAAAAATATTCTCATAAAATATAGTAATACATACACACTCAACCAAAAAACATATATATCAGTCCTTATAATATTAATTGTATTTTACAATAAAAATTTAACATTATAAATACTAGACAGACATACTCTCACTCTTTATCAAACATTAAAAAATATACTTTATATCACTCGTTAATCCATTTCGAAGGATTACATTTATCCTAACATTAAAAATATTTTTATATAAATATTATTATATTAATATTTTTGTCATTTTTTTTAATTTATACTATATTTTGATATTTCCTCCGTCCTGTTGAAAGGATGATGTTTGCTTTTTTTCAAATAGATTTTTAAATATTAGTATTATATTGAATTGTATTAAAAAAGACAAAAATTACCCTATTGTAATATAAAAGTGACATTTGTGTAATATATTGTAAGTTGAAAGAGTATTTATTATCTTAGGTAGGTAGTACAATTACTAAATATGAAATAGTAACCTTGTTTTGGGATGGACGAAAATAGAAAATGATAACTTTTCAATAGGACGAAGAGAATATAATAATTAATATTCAAAGATCTAACACGCAAAAAAATAACTATGACCTTTAAAGGCGGACGGACGGGTAGTATTACTTTTAATTTGGAATCTTAAAAAATTTTGATACTAGTTTTTTATTATTTATATAGTACTTTTTTTTTCCTCTTTTGTTTTCACAAATACAATGTAAAAAATTATTTAACAAGAAAAAAAATAAAGCTATCAAAATTATATCTCATACAAAACTATACTAAAATAAACAAAGCTCTTAAATACATAATACTCCCTCTCGTAATAAAAGAACCATTTGTTTTTTCACGTAATTTTTTTTAATATTAATATTATATTAGTTATAATAAAAAAAGATATCAATATTCTTATTAATATGATATAATATAAAAATAATATCTATGTAATATATTATAAATTGTAATATTATTTACCATGTTAAACATGTAGTACAATTATTTAAATTTGAAAATAATATCCTTATTTTGAGACAAATAATAAAAAATGATATCTTTCTTATAAAACAGAAAAAATATATAAATTTTGTACGATTATAAAAAATTAATAATTCAATATAGTATTATTTTTTATATTATAATTCAATTATCTATACATAATGTAAAATACATATTCATTAAAAATATATATAAATAATAAATAACAGTATTTATTGATTTCCCATTTCCCAATAGGTAGCAAGATAGTGTTATGTATAGAAACAACACTAGTTAATGTATTTCTTGTCACTAACCTTTCAGACAGCACCCCCATCTCCATTCTCTCTCCTCCTCTTTCTCTCTCCATGCTTTTCCCTGGACAAACATCAAAACTAATAAATCACACTCTGCACTGCAGCCAAAAGAAAAAAAAGAAAAGATCTTTAAAAGAAATGGCAGTAGTGCTTCCTCCAAGAAGACCAATTCCCTTCTGTCTTCAAATGCAGTGACTCTCCTCCACCCCCCACCCCCCACAACCCCCCATTTCACATCTCCCTTTCTTCCTTACATGGATTTTAACGTTGTGGGCTTCGACAATCTGCCATGCCCAAATCCTGCAACCTTCGGATCTCACAGAACTGAAAATCAAGATTTCAGAGACTTCAAATTGGCCAGAACTTCTTCCCCTTCTGCAACTGTTTTTGGTGAGCACTTCCCTTTTTCATGGGTTCTTGATGCTTTTCTTACTTTGGCAAAAACGGTTAAGTTTCTGTGGGAATACTGACCCAATCTATAATTGGGGCATATTTTTCTTTTGTTGTTTTCTTGGACTGAAACCCTAGTAACTAACCTAGCTCCTCCATTGTTGACGATGGTATGTCTCTGTCTCAGGTTATGGCTGTACATCTAGAGGGCCCTTCAGTCCTTCCCAATGGATGGAGCTTGAACACCAAGCACTGATCTACAAATACATCTCTTCTAATGTCCCGATTCCTAATTATCTCTTGAATCCCATCAGAAAGGCTGCTGCTGCTTACTCTGCTTTCCCACCTGCCTTCACTGCCAATTCTTGTAAGAGATTTGATAATTTTAACTTTGTCTTGGGGACACCTTTTGTTTAGTGACTGTGTTGAGTTCTTGCAGTTGGGCTGCATTTGGGGTACTGCAGCAATGATCCTGAGCCGGGGCGGTGCCGCCGCACCGACGGCAAGAAGTGGCGGTGCTCCAAGGAGGCGGTGGCTGATCAGAAGTACTGTGAGCGACATATGAACAGAGGCCGCCACCGTTCAAGAAAGCCTGTGGAAGGCCAATCCGGCCATTCCTCCACCACTAAGCCGCCGGCGACAACACCTCCCTCGACGGCGGCGGCGGCGCCGCCGCCGCCGAACCACCATCAATTCAACACCTTGCAGACTGGTTATGATCTTCAGCATTATCACCATAAGATAGGTTCCAAACACCATTCCCAGTCAGAATTAGGATTAGTTTATGACGAATCATTGCTCGGTAGCCAAGGAAACCGGTCGGAGCTACGGCAGTTCATCGACAACTGGCCTAAATTCCAGGGCGAACATCGCTCCGGCGTCGCGGCCTGGCCGGAAAAAGCTACTCATCTCTCGATTTCCATCCCTACAACTGACTACGTCCCCTCCGCCGCCGCGTCGTCTCCGATGAATCGAAAATTCGCTGCTTCCTCATCTCAGGAGCTCGAGATGGGATTGGAAGTCGGCATTGCCGACAAACTAAAGCCAATGCCGAGCTGGGTTCCGATTTCTTGGGAGTCGCCGATGGGAGGGCCTTTAGGCGAAGCTTTGCACGCCAAAAGTAACGACCCCGGCAGCTGCAAGAATTCAAAGCCACTCAATCTTATGGATAGCCTTCCGGCATCGCCGAAAGGAATTCTAGCAGAAAGTAGCAACAAGAGATTCGACGCAGCCGGTCGTTGCATTGGCTTCATCTGTCCCGGAACTGCAATCAATCCTTCCTTGCCTGCACTGTAATTCGACAAAAAATGGAAACGGAATCAGAGTTGTATCAATGGTTAGAACTTGCAAGTGCCTTTCTAGTATGTAATAGTTTGCGTAATTTCTTCTTCTCTACTGTTTGTGCTTCCATCAATGTTTGTAGCAATTAAGATCTTGACACCAGACATTGAATTGCCTCAAAACTGATTTAAATGCTTGGGGGGATAGTACGTGAAGATGAATCAATTAACTGTCTGGTGGATGGTTGGAAGGAAGCATGGTGGTGGGTGAGGATGAAATGCTTCTGTTCTTCGATGTCTACAGCTTTGTAATATTAATAACTCACAATCCATCTCATGAATTTATGGCCAACACATATATATTACCCTACAAAAACTTATTGCTTGCAGATTGAAACGCCTGTCGAGCATTTAATCAGATGCAGAAATGCACTTTTCCAATTTCAATTACATAACCTAATTTGAATTCCAATTACAGTTACATAACCTAATTACTAATCTGTGTATTTGTGAAAATCAGAAGTTTTGCAGAAACACTGAAAATCAACAACGTATATGCATAAATAAAGCAGGAATCTGACGGCTAGACAGTTAAGAATAAGGAATTGCTGTATAATCATGGATTCTCCATCTCCACTTCATCCATATCAAAATGAAGAACCAAAAACATAAAAACAACTAATAAATTTGATCATTTCAACGTTGATAAACAGAAGTAGGAGCCTGAAGGAGAAAAGTACCTTGGAGGAGGAGAGGAAGCAGATCAGATCGAAACTTCGACAGCAATGCTCGAGGAGAAATGGCTTCTTAGAAACCCTAACCCTTAATTAGGGAAAAATAATCGTTCGTTAGAACAACACCCCGAAAGCACATTAGGAATTAAGTTTACAAAATTACTCCCGAAGGAATATTTGGTCGGCCCAATTAGGCCCAGTCATTCCCCACTTGTTTATTATGATTTTTTTTATTTATTTTAAAACCCAAATTGGAAGCCCGAATTCAATAAAATATTCCCTATCCACATAGAGTAAATATTTACTTTTGGCGCGATATTTAAAAAAAAATAATATTTTATAATTATAATGGGTAGTTAAAAGTAGTGTAATGATATTTGTACCTTTACTTTTTGGTGTAAAAGTAATGATGTGATGTAAGAGTATTTGTGGAAAAAAGGTGAGGTATTTAATAAAAGGGTAAATTGTTTTTTTTAGTTCCGTATCTGTCCCATTTTTATTATTTTGGAACTTTAAATGGACCATGTCTGAAAATAGTTTTGTAAGTAAAATTTTTCCACTAAAATGGTCATCCGGTGCCGGACTCGCCACGCTGGCAGCCGTTGCTGACGTGGCTAACATGTCATCACCACGTAGATGCCAGTCAGAGGACCATTTTAGCGGAAAATTTTTTACATGCATGACTATTTTTGAGACAGAGTCCATTTAAATGTCCTAAAATTGATAAAGAAAATCATACCTAAAAAATAGTTTACCAAGATATTAAAAACAATAAAAATCCAAGTATTGCTGACGCGGCATCTACGTGGCAATGATAGGTCAGTCGCGTCAACGCCACGTCAGCAACGGCAGGCCAACGTGGCGACTCCGGCACCGGAGGACCATTTTAGCGAAATTTTTTTTACTTACAGGACTATTTTCAGATAGTCCACTTAAAGTCCTAAAATGATAAAAGATGTCAGATACAAGACTAAAAAAAAACAGTTTATCCTTAATAAAATATTACTTTGTAATTGAACGTCCCAAAATAGAAATATGTATATTTCCTAACTGGATAGAGGGAGTATGATATTCTAAATATTTATTATTGTACTTTGAATTTTATTTTAGTAACCACCGAGCTAATAGCTTGTATATTGAGTTCGACAAAACAAGTTACACTAATCGAACTCTGTGTAGCAGAAAAAATCCGGACGCGTAAAAAGTTTGAATCCATCCTATGGTTTATATAAATATCATTGGCTAATTGGTTATCATCTCATTTTACATATGCATTATACTACTTTCCCCGACTCAAGACAATAGTCTTATTTATTATTTTTGTCCGTCCCAAAACAATAGTCTTATTTTCATAAATAATCATACCGCCATAAAACTACCTCTACTTTTTCATTTTTATTACGCAATTGCCACTACTTTTTACACTAATACACTCACAAGGACAAAAAAATATTTTATCTATATTTTTTACCAACTATCAATATAATATCAATATTCCTTAAATCTAGTGCCCAACTCAATTAAGACTATTTATGAGACGAATGAAGTATTAATTTTTGTAAAATATTTCTTAAAATAGGACCATTTAAAATATTCACTCCCTCGGAAGGATTCCATTTTAAAATCATCATTAGAATATTATTTCTTTTTAAATTATTTTATCGAAAATTATACACGATAAGAATTATAAAAAATATAATTAAAAGTGAATTGATTCCAAAGTTGAAAAGTTATTTTTATTTTTTACCACTATAAATTTTTTATTTTATGAGACATAATAGTTAAAGATGTCATAAGGTGTATCCAATTTAATTATTAGGAAGTGCTTTTGAAATCCCCACACCTAAGGCTCCATTAATTAATTTTTTCCACAAATTTATCTTTACAAAAGGAGAGAAATTTATAAATATTTCTTTTTTAAAAGCAATTTTGTTACTGTTTTTATTTTTATTTTTCGAAATTATGCGTCACATACACACATCACATTCATATACATACATACAAAGAGTAAAAGGTCCTACCCAATATTATTTTTTTTTAAAAAAAAATTATAATTTTAATGAATTTTGACCATTTATTATCGCTTTTTATATAAAATAATTTTATAAATTATATTTAAAATAATTAAAAGATTGTAAATCGTCAAAAGTTTTGTTACCGTTCATATAAAAAATATTTTTTTTAAATAACGAATAAAAAATTGTGTAAGTAATATAAAAATAATAAACATGTATAATATATTAATTTTTTTAAAAAAATATATTTTTGGAGAATTGTAGAAAAACAAATTCATACTATTTATAAAAAATACTCTCTCTGTCTATCCAGTGTGTATATATATATATATATATATCTATTTTTGTATTTTAGTCCGTCCCCTAACAAAGTATCTATTTTTTTTAAGTAACTGTACTATCTACCTAACATTACAAATACCCTTACAACTTACAATATATTACACAAATGCCATTACATTTATATCACACATACTAATAAAGTTATTTTAATCATTTCTACTTTATTCCTACTATATCCCAATATAATACTAATATTTCTAAAATTATGTGTAAAAAGCAAATGGATACTTAGTTCCTGGACGGAGGGAGTATTATTTTATACACAAAGTACAAAAATAAATGTTAAAATTTTACTGTTTATGTGATAATAAGGGTTTGCCACTTAGCATTTTTGAATGGAACGATTTTTTATAAATAATTTTAAAAAATTAAAATATATGACACATGTTAATATTATATAATATACTTCATTCATCCTACATAATTTATTCATATTTTATATTTTCGTCTATCTCACATAATTTGTTATTTTTTAAAAAAATATAATTGTACACTTTAATCAAATTTTAAATTTTAAATATTTATAATATTTTAAATCTTAATTAATTTAATTATCTTAATCTTAATCTATAATTATTTTTACTATACAATAATTATTTTTATTAATATATTTTTTAATTACTTACTAATTATATTTTATCTAAATTTTTGTGTCTACAATAATACGCTCATCTTGCATGAGACGGAAACAATATATTTTTTTATTTTTTATTTATAAAAAATCAAAAATTTAATACAAAATATTATTTTTGTTTTCATCAACATAATTTTTTAAACTTAACATAAAAAAATTACATAAATCCAAAAATAAAATGTGAAATACCCTAAATATAACAATAATAAAATAATATACCAACTCTAGAAATGTCTTTATTTATTTATTTATTTCTATATTTAAATTTTGTAGACTATCTTTGGGACTTTATTTTGATTTGATGGGACAACATATCCATTCGAGGGTTATGCCGACTATCCTTTTTAATATATCATCAATTTGTCTACGTAAATAAATATCCTCACTTTGGATTTTTATTTTATTTTATTTTATTTTGAAATAAAATAAAATAAAAAGTTAAAGCTGATTTTAAGATCTTACAATATATAAAAAATAATAATAATAAAGTAATATTGAATATGCTTAGACTGAATGTAGTCGTTCTATATCTATATATTCATTTATTTTTTACACGAAATTTTAGAAATATTAGTATTATATTGAGATAAAGTAGAAATAAAGATAAAACGACTAAATTAATCCTATTAGTATTATATGATATAAAAGTAATGACATTTGTGTAATATATTGTAAATTAAAAGGATATTTGTAATGTTAAGTAGATAGTACAATTAATAAAAAAAAAAATGAATACTTTGTTACGGGACAAACCAAAATAAAAAAATAAATAGATTGTTAAGGGACGAATGGAGTATTTGGTACTTAAAAATTATACTGTCATTTTACTTCGTTTATATATAATAGTTCATTGTTTTTTCTGGAGAAAATTTTTACATATTTTAATTATATTTTAACTTTTATAATTTATAATTTATAATTTATTAATTTTTTAATTTGAATATAAAATGATTTATATTTATACTGTTATATTTTTATTAATATAATATATTTTTTAATTATTTATTTATTATACCATTTCCTAAAATTCCATATCCACCATGCATAGGACATAGAGAATAACATTTAACAATGGGTCTAATATATTCAAGATATAATTAAATAATTTATTTATTTATTATACAATCTATGATTCAATATAAAATATATATATTTTTAATAAATATATTACATCAAACTATTAATTAAACTAAATTATAAACGAAACACACCTAAAATTTGATTTGGTATATATTAGGATTTCAAGTAGTATTGAATTAATTATTTGATTTAAATAGATTCTAGTTGTGTTTTTTTATAGTTTAATTTTATTTTTTAACATTATTTTGAATGTGATATTTCATTAAAAATATATATATATATAGATTTTATAAAAAATTATTATCGTACTTTAATAAGTAATTAAGAAATGTATTATTAAAAATAATTATAGATTAAGATTAAAATAACTAAATAGTTTAATTAAAATAAAAAATTATAAATCATGAATTTTAAAATGTAATTAAAGTGTATAATTATATTTTTAAAAATAAAAGACAAATTATGTGAGACAGACTGAAACAGAAAGAGTGAATAAATTATATAGGATTGGGAGAATAATAATTTGTTTGTTCAGTGTTTTGATTTGAATTTATTTTTTTACGTGAGATATAAAAAATTATCTAAGTAGTATATAAATATTATTTTATGTTGAGTGTCATTTTTTATGAAATGATAGAATATTATATTATATATACTCCCTCCGTTCCATAAGTAAATATTCATTTGTTTTTTGTATTTAGTTTTAGAAATATTAGTATTATATTGAAATATAGTATGAATAAAGTAGAAATGACTAAAATAACCTTATAAGTATGTGTGATATAAAGGTAATGACATTTGTGTAATATATTGTAAGTTGTAAGGATATTTGTAATGTTAAGTAGATAGTACAGTTACTAAAAAAAAGAAAATAAATATTTTATTATGAGACAGACTAAAATAAAAAAATTAATATTTTATTGTGGAACGAAAAGAGTATTAAGAATCGTATCGAAAAAAATACAGCAAACATTTGTTGCATATGTTTTCAACTTCATTGTGACATTATTATTGATCAGTCGTTCTTATTTAAAAATATATCTCATTAAATACTTTTTTTCTATTTAAAATATTATATAAAAAATTATTTTCAATCCAAACCATTATAATTAATACTTATTTATATAAGTTAAATAATAATATTTTTATTTCTAAATCAACCTAAAATTTTAAAACATTTCCAAAATTTATCTACCTGTAGAAGTATCATTTTCAGTTGTGTTTGTTAGTGGGATTTTCACTGTTGATTCCATTTTTTTTCCCCAAAAATATCAAATCAAAAACTTATTTTTCATTTTTTATATTATACTAAAAATCAATTTTACATTCAAAATATCACATCAACACTTATTTATATCACATCATACAACTATTCAAATTCAAAATTTTACTATTCAAATCCCAATTCAAAATCCAAACCCCGAAACAAACACACCCTTAACTGTCACCACAGATTTTGTCACTATTTTTCCAGCCCAACACTTTGAAGATAATTTCGATTCGAATTTTAGGATATACGTTGCGTGAAATAAAGTATAAATTATATATATATATATATATTTCCAATTGAAATTTAATTCCTTCAACACGACAAGAATATTATATTTAGTTTGGATTTTCTTATGTCTCTTCCTATCCCAAATAAATATTAAATAAATGAAAATAATTTACATATTTTATATATTATATATGTTGGGAAAGTGATTTATCGAATAAACACATTCGAACATTTTTAAGGGCCAACTTCGTACGCGGTTCAAAGTTATAACCACGTTTTAACAACGAAAGACAATGCAGAACATAAAACAACAATGAGACAAGGTGTTTGTTAACACGGTTCGATTATCAACCAATCTACATCCAGGGATACCAATCCAGGAGATATTCCACTAATCAGTGCTGATTAAGGACAAAAACAACATCAACTCCTTAAACCCTGTTGAGATATTTAAATATTCAGTTTTAGATTTAATAGATTTATGTCTAAATTTGATCTCATAGATTAGATTATTTAGATTTGAGTATATCGAGTCTATTTTGTATTGCCTATATATAGGCTATTTCTTTTGATATCAATAAGACAATTTCATTATTTTTCCCCAAAATTTCTGACAAACCCAAAAAAACTATCATGGTTAATCTAGGAAAATACATCAACAGGTTCACGTTGTCACAAACGCGTACCGGCAACGACCATATGCATAGCAGCTTAGAGTTTGATCATCCTCTACGGTTAGAATTCCATTATCTCCGATATCCGTCGACCTCTCCGGTGGATTTCAATGTTAAACAACAATTCAAAACATGGAGAAAATAGGGAGAAGGATGAGAGCACACACAATAATTTCTCGCTCTATATTTTGGCTCTCAAACCTCCACAAAATTTTCTTTCATTTGGTTGTGTATATCATACAACATTGGAAACAACATACCTCACATTAATTTTCCTTGGCATAGAAATAGATGGAGTGTTCTCCAATGATTCTGTACGAGACTGACCATTTTCAAAATGTCATGTTTAACTCTTGTGGGCATTTAAAAGTTTAGATACAATGAATAATGCTAAACCCACAAATTTATACTGCAACACGGTTGCAGCGTGTTGCAGTGACGGTCTTGCTGCAACATCAGACTACTTAAAAAAAAAAAAAACTTAATTACAGAGAAATAAAAAACATTTTTGTCCATTGTGATAAAGACTTAATGCACATCTTAATATATATATATATATATTGGAAGTAATCCTCAGTTTCAAAGCTATATATAAAGTGGTGGACATATATTTTATTATTTTAATTTTGAAATTTATGAAAGATATATAAGTCTCTTTTAAAAATTTTAAAAATAAAAAAATAATAGAGAAAAAAAGCCAGAGCAAGAAAATTCTAGGCCTTTGTGAAACTTTTTAATTGACAGCTGTAATGGAGTTTTTTCAAAGTGTCCATAAAGGGCATTTTTTTAACAAAATTCTTTTACTATGTAAAATTATTATTTTTAATAAAAATTTATATATTCTTTTTATTTTTATATATAAAATATACTACGGGTTTGTTTAATTTTTTCTTTAACTAATATTTTAATACGATGTTTTATAAGTAAATATAGAGCAATATTTTTCTATTAAAAATTGTAATGATAAAGTATTTTTATTTTTAGTTCAAATCATAACCAAACAAATTATACATTCAACAACTCTTTTAAGTATATATATAAAAGAAAATACAATAGCATAATTATATAATAATATATATTGAAAATAATAGCCTTAATTAACAGTAATTTTAACAGTGATAAGAACAAGAATATAAAAATTAATAATATTATTAACTTTGTCATATGTTTTGAATGTTTATTTATATTAATAATTATAATATAAATATTACTTGAAAGTCTTTTCTCTATTTTTTTTTTTTTGTAAAGTTAAAGCCTAACATTTGATCTTTTGCGAGTGAAATGTGAATATACAAAAATGATTAATTAATCAATTGGATAATATGTATATATACGTATATATATATATGCCACGTGTATATGGTTGATTGGGAGGGTGTTTGATGGGTCCAATGCACCATACACACCCTACAACGTTGAAATATATGACTGCGCATATTTCAGTGTACACGTGGAACTCTTTAGATTCTCTGCAATAATTAATTCATCAATGTGTTAGAACCAACTGTGCTCTGTTTGTCTGTCGGTTGCAACATATTCTACTTCAGTCATTAAAATTTATCCATATTTGACCGGTCAACTTTTTTTTTTTAATATTAAAAAAAATATATTATAGTAAAAGTAAAAAAATAGAAAATTTGATATTTTTAATTAAAAAAAATGTGGATATTTTTTTACAATTAAAAAAGAAAAATAGATAGAAATTTGGATGATAAAAAGAAGTATTATTCAATATGTATATAATTTTAAATATCAAATTAATTAATTATTTATAATTTTTATTAGTATATTTAAAATTAATTCAAATTCAAAATTTTATTATTAAAAATCTCAAATTTAACTCTCAAACCTAGTTGAGTATAGATTAATCTTTTTTTTATTCAAATTTATTTTCACTTTTTATTTTTAATTACTATTTAAATTTATTATCGTTTTTTTTTAGTAAAAATTATTGTTTCTTCTACTTCTTTTTTTTATTGTAAAAAGTAAAGTTTCTGTTTTCATATATTTTTTTAAAAATCCGGCTCAGTCAAATGAACACACAATTGAAATATTATATTATTGGGCAGTACATTTATTTGATTCTTATTGTCACGGTTGAATGCATAAATATTAAAATTAGAAGATTTAACAATAATTAATTGATAGAAATACACAAATAAATAATTCTAGGTTAGAATAGAGTGTTTTTTGTGTTTTGATTTTTTATAATTTTAAAATAAAATACGTATTTGATGCCATATATATGTAAGTATATATATATTTATACATATATTTATGTGCCAAGTAAATATTTCACCAAGAATCTGTATATCCTATCTTTAGCTAAAGGGACTTTTCGAAAAGGAGATTTCGAATAAGGAATAATAATGACACGAGTTGATCATTAATGATGATTATGATTATATATACACACACAATTGATGGTAATAATTACACATGACTCATCTTCCTTAATCAACCAATAATAATAATAATAATCAACTAACAAAATACAAACCAAATATTAACATTAAATTTTCAAAAAAAGAGACACAAAATCCAAAACCCTAATAGGACGAAACCAACCCTCAATTTGTACACGACCAATCCATCCATGCAACGACACGTGGCATTTCAAAATACTCGAAACCACCAAACATTAATTGCTTAATAATAATAATCATAGTAATAATAATAGTTCGATCTGCCGATGGGATATTATCCTCTGCTCCAAATGAATATATATATATATATATAAATGTGTATTAATTAGAGGGATAATAATTAACGTTAATTTCTTTTTTAGGTAATAATTATAATATCATAGTTGCAAATTTGGCGGTAAGATTTGTCGTAAACCGGCGAGCCTGCGTTGGAGGAAAATCGACTCGGTCAGGAGCCGGTTCGAGTGGCGCTGGACGACGTGGCAGTCACGGGTGAGCGAGCAAAGCCGGTTTTTGAGTTCCCGGTTCTCGAGTCTAAGCCGGTTCGCCTCGTTCGTGAGATTGTCTAAGTGGGTCTTCTTGCGCCACCGCGACCGGCGGGCGGATTCCCGGTTCGACATCTTCCGGCGGTTCTTGCGCTCCTCGAGGGAGTAAACCGGACCGGCGCGGTTGAATGTGTCGGAGCTGGAAGTGGAGGGAATGGACGGCTCAGATTGAAGGAGGGAGAAGAGCTCGTGGATATCGGACGGAGAGAGAGAGTGCTCGAGAACCGGGAGTTGGAATGCGACCGGGTTCTCCGTGGCCATCATGACTGGACCGGGTTTAGGGCTTCTAAGAGAGGACCGGAGGGAGGAAAGGAGGGGAAAAGGGAAGAAGTGAGGTGAAGGGGAAGGGTATTTATGGAGGATTGGAGGGGTATTTAGGTGGGTCCCATTATATATACTATATTTTATTTTATTTTTAATTCTAAAAGAACAAACTAGTATTTCTATTCAATGATTCCACATTTTAGTATAGTAAAAGGATTTATTTTGATTTAATTTTTATATTTAATTATTTATATATATATATATATATTACACAGACCTGTTATTTTTTTGCATTGTTTTTTCATTTTTTTTAAAAGATAGTATATGATAAATTACATTCTAACAGGAGTATTTATTTTTTATACAAAATATCACCTGTCATGATTATTTAATTTTAAAAAATATTAATTAAAAACTATCAGAATATGCTGTAATTTTTTTTTTTTTGGTCATAATTTTAAATATTTATTATAATAAGTATTATTATACATGACATAGCCAGACAAGTGAATACTGAGATCCAACTTTGTCTAACCCTAATAGGACAAAGACATACAAAAGGATATATATCTACATCTCTCTCTCTCTTTGTAAGATGGAGAGCAGAAAACTGGGTAACTATAGGTGTGTGTGTTTTATTTTTTAAACTTAGATCTAGAAGATTTGGTTTGAAATTTTTGTATTTAAATAATATTTAATATAATTTTAATAAGAGGATAAAAAATGTGTTATTTTTATAAAATATAGAGTTCAAATAACAAAAAATCGAAAAAAAAAATAAAAATTAAAGAAACATGTCCATAGTGTTCTTGATCAGTTTGGTTTTGATTTTTTTTTTTTTTCTTATACAATTATGGCGATTTCTTATAAGAGTGCATTATTATTAGTATTATTATTCACAAAGACATAATATTCAAAGATAAAAATAAAATTTAAAACAAAATAAAACTCCAAAAGACAAACCCTAACAAACCACATTACTACTGTAATCTTTAACATGTTTCTTTCTTTCTTTCTTTTATTTTTTATTTTTAAAAAAATTATTTAAATTTAGTAATGTGTTGGTCTTTTTCAATTCCAGAAATGGGCTTTATCTGATCTAATCTAATCTGATATATATATATATATATATAAAATATTTTCTTTTCTAGTCTACATTTGTGTAGAGCTGAGTTTAAATTTATTGATTCTTCGTCATTAAGCTAATACACATATTCAGACACAGAGCCCCCACTTCAAATAAAGCTGATTCTGACCCCCCAACCACCCCCCACCATTCACACACACAAACATATACATACACACGTGTATACATATATATCTATATATATAATATAAATATATAACTGTTTTGAGTTATATATTTGCATTTTCATGTTGCTACAATTTTAGCTACGCTTAAATCCGTTAAAACAAATTGGCTTTTTGCAGCTATATAACTGTTTTGGTCTTTCTGTAAAATTAGGGTTTTCGATGGATGATTGAGGGCCAAAAATACAATCTAAGATAAAAAGCTACACTCTTTGTCCTCTTTATATTTATTTATTTACTTTTTTTTTTCTTTTGTAATAAAAAAAAAAAAAAAGTAAAAAAGTGTAATTATTTTTTACTTAAAAAAGAAACGAGAATATTATTTGATGACAATCCAAAAAAGAAAGTGAACATAGATTTGAATGGCATAATAAATAATATTTTATATGTACATAGCTTGCAAATTCTGTGTTGATCTGTCCAAATCATCATAGTGCTTATTTAACCGAGTTGACATATGACATACAGGAATGACGAATATATGTTTATGCATATTTCAACATAATTATATTACTCCCCTCGTTCCATAATTAGATATCAATTTACTTTTTACACATAGTTTTAGGAAATATTAGTATTATATTGGTATGTAGTAGGAATAAAGTAGAAATGACTAAAATAATCTTATTAGTATGTGTGGTATAAAGGTAGTGATATTTGTGTAATATATTGTAAGATGTAAGAGTATTTATAATGTTAGGTAGATAGTCTAGTTACTAAAAAAAGAAAATTAATAGTTTGTTATAGGACAGACTAAAATGAAAAAATGAATACTTTGTTATGAGACGAAAGAAGTATAAGATATGCTAACTTGGTCAAATCAACACCATACCGACTTGAGCGGATCATCAGCTGAACTATGCCATTTATACCGTATAATAAAGTGGTGAATAGACAATTGGACCCTAAAATTATAGTCTTTTTATATGTAAATTCACAATATTATTGTAATATTGTATATAAAATGTAAGATGTTTTTTTGTTTTAAAAAAATGAATATGTGTGAGTAAAATTATTAAAAATGAAAATAAATAGATTGAATTGGTTTTAGAGAGGTCAAAATGACAAAATAAATAAATTAATTTTAAATAAAAAAATAAAATTGTGGTTAGGAGAGCATTGGACACTCAGGCCCTGATTTTAGGTATTATAACTGTATCAAGACACTACCAATTTAAACTTTGGCACTACAAAGCTTCCATACCAAATTAGGTATTATAATTATATCACAATTGGTGTGATATAAATATATATTAAATTTTATATTTTGAGTAAAAAATATAGGTTATGCAATATTTTATATGAAAAATAAATATTAAATGTGATATTGTATAGAAATACTTTATATATCTCTAATAACTACGTATCCGTTTATTTTTTGCACAGAGTTTTAGAAATATTAGTATTATATTAGAATATAGTAGAAATAAAGTAAAAATAACTAAAATAACCTTATTAGTATTGTGTGATATAAAAATAATAATATTTGTGTAATATATTGTAAGTTGCAAGAATATACGCCTCTTCTTTGGCGTAAGTCCATTACATGTATTTATTAGAGAATATCCATAAATAATTGGAAGACATTTTAAATTACTTTTTATTTTTCGAAAAAAAAAATATTCGAAATATATATGGTTTGTTAACTTTCATATAATCTTAGTGTAGACAAAAAATTGTGTTATTTTTAATAAACACAAAATTTGTACAAATTATATTTGATTTGAATTTAAAGCGGGTCCTATTATCTAAATGGATCATTTGATTCTCCTCCAGGGTCGATTTATTTTCCAACTTGGTTTTCAATGGCTTCTTTGATCCGAGAGGTTTGGTCTTCAGTTTGACTTTGCCGGCTTTTGGAGGGTTTTGGTCTCCGTGCGAGCGATTTGATCGCAGCTTTGGATATGATGTATTTTTTTTAAACGATCCGAGGCTTTGATCTTTAATTTGGCTTTGCCGCTTTTGGAGGTTTGGTCTCCGTGTTGGCGATTTAATCATTGTCTTTGAATTTGTTGTCTTCTTTGGACGATCCGCGACTTTGACATTTGTTTTGGCTTTGCCGCTTTTGGAGGATTTTGGTCTCCGCGTTGGCGATTTGCGACTTTGATCTTTGGTTTGCCTTTTCCGCCTTTTGGAGAGCTTCGGTCTCCGTGTCGGCTTTGGATTTGATCTTCAGCTTTGTATTTGATATCTTCTTTGGACGATCCGCAGCTTTGATATTTGATTTGTCTTTGCCGCTTTTGGAGGGCTTTGGTCTCCGTGTGGGCGATTTGATCCTCAGCTTTGGATTTGATGTCTTCTTTGGACGATCCGCAGCTTTGATCTTTGATTTGTCTTTGCCGCTTTTGGAGGGCTTTGGTCTCCGTGCGGGTGATTTGATCCTAAGCTTTGGATTTGATGTCCTATTTAAACGATCTGCAGCTTTGATCTTTGAGAAGGTGGATTTGGTGCTTCATAACGCTTTTGGCGGCGTGTCCCTTTTGACTTTTGGATCGAAGAGGGCCGAGTTTGCGCCTTTTATGAAGAACGCGATGAATACCTCAAAGCTTTGAGAGAAACTTTGAAGACCTTCCCTTGGCTTTGACGAATTCCTCGACGGCTTTGAGAGCTTTGATCCTTCCTCCGGCTTGGACATACGACGAAGAACGTTAACTTCATCGATTCGTCAACCAATATTGGATCATTTGTCCAAATTAGTGCCTTTCAATGAAGAACGCTTCGAAGGACACGAAGAACATGAAGAACAATACAGAGAGAGTCTAGAGACTTACTCATTTGCTTGAATCATCGATGCAACTTCGGTGTCTAATGAATTGGTCAAGGCTTCTATTTATAGGGGATGGTGGCCTTGGCTTCCTTTTCGGATGGTGCCACGTGGATGGAAAGATTTTATAATCTTTCCTTTTTCATCAGATGTTGCTTTCCATTCTTGACGGATTCGATTGTGCACCTTCCTTTCTCGCCAAAATTTTCATATCATTGTCTTTTTTGGAAGATATTAATTTATATACTTCCTTTATTGACAAAATCTTTATATCATTGCCTTTTTTGGAAGATATTAATTTATATACTTCCTTTATTGACAAGATTAATTTATTTTGCTGCCAAATTTATTATGGCTCTATTTATGCACGTAATATTTGTACGATATTTTCCATTTTAAGCATATTTTTGCATTAATGGTTGATATTTATTGTACAAAAATTAACATATGTACATAATTAAATACCATATATTTATTTTATTGGAATTTTATTTTCTTCCAAAATACATGATATTTAATTGATTTTAAACATATATTTTTAGTGTCTACAGTTAGATATCGGTCCCGTTTTTGTTCCATTCTTAAGGTTCAATAAAAATATACAGTTTTTCCGTTGCACAATAGTTAAAAAAAATAAAAATAAAAATAAAAATAAAATAAAAATAAAAATAAAAATAAATATAGAATAATAACTTTAATAATATTTTCACAGTTTTAAATAAATAATTACAAGAATTCCCAAATTTTTTAAAACTAAAAAAGCACACCCTAAATTTTCTTTTAAGTGAATGCATGTGTTATGTTTCATTGTCTACTAGAAACTACCATCTACTATTTATTTATTTATGGTAATAATTAATAGACTGCCTAGATTCTTATGAACTTTTTGTTTTATATATAAAATAATCATCAATAATTTAATAATTCAAAAAATTATTTATTATATTTGCTTGTATGTAACACTGTTTAAAAAGCCTAAGGAGAATATTCCCAACCTTGTTTTAATTTAAAATATATATTTAATTTATTCCATTTGGTTTTTTAATATTATTTAATTAAGTACACAATTATAAATTATAATTTGATTTGGCAGTTAGTTCTTGTTACTAATATTTATTCCTTTTTAAAAATATAATATAAAAAGGAACTCAGAAAAAATAATAATAATAAACATTAATATTGAGATGGGTGGAGAGTAACATGCTGTGTTCGGTAGTAATAAGAAAAGCTTTCATTAATTTAGGGTTTGTTTTTTTTTTTTATAAAATATAAATCTCAAAAAATATATTTTTCCAAAAAATTAATATATTATATATATTTATTATTTTTATATTATTTACACAATTTTTTATACTTCGTATAAATAAAATATATCTTCGAACCATTTTATTGAACAGACAAATTTGTATTTGAATGGGAGGGGAGGAGTTTTAATAAATTTTTACTTTATCTAATTACCTATTATAGTTTTGAATATTTTATTAAATTTTTTACAACACCTTCAAACTTAATATTTTTTTTTTTATTTTTAATTATATCAAACATGTTAATATATATTTTGCAAATTTCTAATAATTTAGTTATGATATTTAAAAAAAATAAATTATATAAAGTAGTATATAATTATATCTATAATTAATAAAAGTCATAGTAAACTAAATTAATAAAAGTCATAGTAAACTAACTCAATCATTTAACCATATATTAAACTAAGTAATTGGCTATAATGAAATGGTTTGGGTTTTAGGATTGAAGGTTTGAGATTGGGTTTAAGAGTTTGGATTGGGCCGAAATTGGTGGGCCGGGCTAAAAAGTAGACCAATCATTATATTATTAAAAAAACTCGTTGAGTTAGGTCTCGATCCAAATATTTTATTATTATTCTTATTATTATTATTAGAGTTGACAATGAGTCGATTCGTGTCGGGTCGAATACTTTAAACGGGTTAAATTACTCAATCCTAACCTGATCCGTTTATGATCGTGTCGGGTTCGTGTTGACCTGTTTATTATCGTGTCGGGTTCGGGTTGACTCGTGTTAACCCGTCTACATAATTAAGTCGAATTTTTTGATTCAAATTAAATAATTTTTTGTTGTGTTGTCGTGTTATGTTAGCTTTTATTGGTTTGTGCGTAAATTAGGTTGAATTATTTAAAATTGAACTTAGTTTAAGTTAATTTATGAAAAAATTAATAAATTATCATTATTTTACATATATAATAAATATATTAATCAATATTAATATATTATAATCAGGTTGTCGTGTCGGGTTCGAGTTGAGAGTCTCAACACTAACCCAACCTATTTATTATCGTATCGGGTTCGTGTCAACCTGTATACATAATCGGGTTAAAATCCTTGATCCAAATCCAATTATTTCATATATGGTCATTTTTTGTCAGCTCTAGGAGGGTGTGACAATTAACATGGAAACTACAAAAATAATAATAAAAAATATATCAATTAAAATGTGAAAGAAAAAGTACTCACTCTTTCCCATATAATTTGTCTCTATTTTCTATTTTCGTCCGTCCCACATAACTTGTCATTTCTATTTTTGGAAATATAATTATGGACTTTAATCGCATTTTAAATTTTATAATTTTCTTAATTTTAATTAAATTATTTACTTATCTTAATATTAATCTATAATTATTTTTACTAAATAATAATTATTTTTATTAATATACTTCTTAATTACTTACTAATTATACTTTACATAAATTCACGTGTCTACCGTAATACACCCATATTACATGGAACGGAGGAGTATGTAAAAGCTTAAAATTTTTCTAAGAATTGACTGGGAAATAGTTACACAGTAATCCAATTAACATTCAAGTCTGGCATACATTAATTAATATAATCATTAAATTAAATATCCCTAATATTAAGTAATATCCATTAATCCATGGTGGTTGACAGTTGAAATTTTCAATTTCCAATTTCCATTTATTTATGTATATATATATTTATTTATTTATTTATGTCCAATTGCAAATATGTCCACAACTATACGCCAATCAACAAGAATTCTTGTCTGCTCCCGGGACTCCAACACCAATGTTGAGTATAGATATGCATTGAAAGTTTTCAAGACACTGTGTTTGTTTTGTGTTTTGATATTTTTTATGTGATGTGGGAATTATATAGGTAATATAAAAATAAAAAGTGTGTATTATATTAATTATTTTTTGAAAAATATGATAACATTTTTTATTAAAAGGACAAACTCCCTTTGTTTGTTTGTCTTATTAAAAAATATATATATAATTTTAGTAAAAATATATTTTTAAATTATATAAAAATATTATTATACATACAATTACTTTATACATAAAAATAAAACAGTAAAAATGTCAAAAAAAAAATTTACGGACTTCCACGATTAACAAAAAAATTATTATTTTTTAATTTATTATAAAACCTGAAGAACCATTTGATTTGTAACGAATTGATTATTACTTTTTTAAATAAAATATATTTAAAATCTTATTATGTATCACCTTAATATGCATCAATAGAGTGGCGCTCAGGTCCCGGTACCCCGCAATATTCAAACCCTAATTTCCACCCAGAAGTCGTGTGGCGTCTATTAACCAATTAATCATCAAAATACCTATTAAAAAAATATATATATATATATTATTATTTCCCTATAACACGACCAAAAATCTTTGAACAGTGGAACCTTCGTATTCTTTCATTATAAAAAGAATCGAACTCAAAAAAATTTCTTACCCATAATTTCAATCAATCCCCAAAACCCTAAAATTTCGATTTTTCAGAAAAATGAAGACAAAGGCAAATCAGCAAAATATCTTCGTCCGTTTAATAACAAGTCCATATCGGGCTTTCTGCCGGGCCCGGGACTTCTACGTCAACTCCATGATACAATGCGCCACCGGAAACGCCGCCGGCCTCCGCGGCGGCGGCGGCGCCGCTCTGCACGCGGCGGACCTGCCCCGGAGCTTCAGCGTCAATTCGGTCCGGTCGGATGATCGGAGCGAGGATTTCCGGGAGCTGGTCCGGGCGGCGTCCGCCCGGAGCGGCAGAGTTACGGCGGCTCCGCCGCCGGCGCCGCCGAGGAGCGTCAGCGTCGGGATGGGGAGGATTGACGAAGATCAGCCGCGAATCGATTTTGGTGAAGAAATTGATGCGAGGTTGAAGAAGGAGGTGATGAAGTATAACCGGAGCAAAAGTCAGGCCGGCGGCGCCGTCGCCGGAAAATTCTTTTGACGGCGGAGATGAGAGCTTTTTCGTCTTTTCATTATTGCATATATCTGTTCTTATCCGTGGATTATACTCCTCCTTATTATTATAATTATTTTTTAAAAAAATTATTATTAACAAATATATATAGTTGTTGTTAGATAAAATTGTATTTTCAGTCCATAAATTAAATACTCCCTCCGTCCCACATACCATGTCCACGTTGCCCCGTTTCTGTCAGTCTCACATGTCATGTCATTTTTTTTTTTAAAATGATTATATACTTTAATCTCATTTTAAACTTTTTAATTTTTTTTAAATTGTAATTAAACTAATTAGTTATCTTAATTTTAATTTATAATTATTTATATTATAAGATAATTATTTTCACTAGTACATTCTTAATTATCTACTAATTACACTTCTCATAAAATATTGTGTCTACAATATAGCAATACGTGGAACGGAGGGAGTAATACTTAGCCCATCTCAATTATTTTTACATATTTTACTTTTGTCATAATTCTTTTAGGTTTTTAATTTTGATATTTATTTATATGGTATCATGCTTATTATTATTATTATTTTTTTTATATGGAATGGAAAAAGAAAATTAATGTGTAAAGTTTCAAAAAAATGATAGATTAAAAATAGAGTGTTTATTTGTTTAGTATTTTAGTTTAAGGTATTTTTGTACCCGAGGTATAAAAAATTATATTCTATTTTAAATATTTACTTTTTGTAAGATAATACTCTCTTCGTCTCAAAACTATATATTCATTTGCTTTTTCATTTAAAATTCAGATCCATACTAATTTCAAATTCAAAAAATAATGATCTGAATAATTATGTATTTTAATAATTCTATTATAGCACATGCCCAAAATAAAATGGACAGCTAATCATGTGTACAGTTGTTTGGGTAAATTGTAAGTATAATATTTTTTCTTCTATTTTAGTAAAAATATTTAAATAGTCGGATTTTATTTATTACATTAAATATTCTTATGTTAAATTAAAAAATGTACAAAAATAACTTTTTTGTCCAAAGTTATATTTGATTGTAAATACCCATTTAAATACACAAGTTTTATAAAAAAAAAAAATCTAATATTTTCAATAATTTTATTTGAATGAAAAATAATAAATAACTGATCAATCTTTCATTATATATATATATTTAAAATTAAATAACAATTTATAGGAACTAATTTCTTGTGGATAGATATCCACAAAGGACTGTAGAAAAAAATAAATAAAAATTGATAGTCGATGTCTTTTGAATCATAAAATTTATTGTATATCTAGTGAAAGATTTATTAAACATTTTGTGAATTGAAATTCTCGTATGTAAATTGTTATTTTGTTATATGAAACTGGATCACTAAATCTGGTATGTTATTTATTTTTTTTGTTTATATTGTATTCTCTCTGTCCTTTAATCATCTATTTTTTTTTTTTTTTATTTTGGTCTGTCCATTGACAATTTATCAATTTTTTTTTTTAGTAATTATACTGTTTACCTAACGTTACAAATATCCTTTCAATTTACAATATATTATACGAATATATTACCTTTATATCAAAAAATTGGCTCTTATGTAATTTTGGACGACCATTTTGTCAATTGGGAAAAAGTTTGAGAATAATCTCATGCTATTTTAAAATTCAATCAACTATCCGGGCCGTTAATTAAACGAACGGTCACGATTCAATGTCCATTTACACAGGAAATCTTAATTTAATAATTCACAATAATCAATTATTATGATTGTAACATTTTAAAAAGGCCAATTTGGACTGGTTCAAAAGTCAAGAACTGATGAGCTATTCAAAATCTAATCAAATTGAATAAATAATAATAATAAAAAAATAAAAAATAAAAACAAACCTTATGTGCATGCTTACAAATAAGTCAACTTTCAGACAATATTATTGAAATAAAGTGTTGTCGATAGGACTGGCGTTTGATGTGTACGTTTCTTCTGTAAGTATATATATATATATTTAATGACCAATTTATTTATTATGCATGTTGTTATTTATTTATTTTTATGATATACATTTAATTTTTTAGACAAATAATTAATATAAGAAAAAATATATATATATATATAATGTTACAATTATAATCAACCCGCGGCCGCTACCCGAAAATGTGTAAGTAAACCTCCAGTCAAACTTAAGATCTGAGGCATCGGGGATTTGAACCCATGACCTCACGGTCACAAGTCCAACCCATACATCACCAAACGTACCGTTACTAGACATCATATATATTAAGATTACTAAGGTGGGTTTGGATTGGCTTCTAAAAATATATTTTTGGATTTTTTCTGAAAAAAAAAAAAAAAAATTATTTATTTTTATATTGATTTTTGATCTAAAGTTGAAATTATTTTTGGAACTTTTTTATTTTTTTTTTGAAAACATCTTATGGAGTGTTTAAAAAAAAAAAAAAAAAGAAATATCTTCAATTAAGTATTATTTTATCTACTAATAATAAATAACATAAAATAAAAATAAAAACAATTCATTTATATATTATAATTAAATCAAAATTTATATATAATTTAATTTTAATTTTAATTCTAATTTTATATGTTATATTTATATTAAATCTAAAAAATTGAAATATTAAATTAAAAAATATAAATTTTAGTTATATAATAATCTAATAGTTTTAAATACTATAATTTATAAAGTGTTAGAATAAATTGTAACGTAAAATTTATTTAAAATTAATTATTTTTATTTTTATTTATATATTATACTAAAATTAACATTAAAAATATAAGTATACATTGAATTTAACAAATATGGATAGTTCAATTTTTTTTTAATTTAATCTATTAAATTTTAAAATAAATTAAAAATTTTAATAAAATAAATACAACTTATATTAAAAGATAGAAAATATTTTTTTTCTATAATATACTTATAATTTTTATTTTATTTTTATTTTTTTTTATCAAATTCGGTCCTTCAATTTAAAATGTATTTGATTTATATAAATATATATATTATCTTTGTTTATCCAAAGTTGAGGAATCCCTAGAGACGTGGCCACTAATCGAACTATACAAATAAACTAGATACTTGTATTTTATTATTATTGTTTTTTTTTTATATATAGGAGTATTTTTTATTCAACAAACAACATATTAACTATTTAAAAATAAAAAATAAAATGTATAATAATCATTTTTATAAAATATTTCATATTTTTTTATATGATTTTGATTTTGAATTTAAATTTGGTAATAATAAAATTTTAAATTAAAATAATAATTTGAAAAGACAAATAAGTGTTGATAGTTATTTTCAATACTTTTTCAATTTCAATTAAAAATATTATTTTTACTATTTCTTTTTTGTTTTATTAAAAAATATTCACTTATTAATATAATAAAAGTAATAATATACTAATAACAAATACTTTTAAAGTTTAATAAATTTACAAATGTGTTATTACATATAATTAATTTATATATAAAATATAAAGAATAAAATATCAATATATATATAATACAGATCAGTTCAAAAGAAAGACCGCAAAGTGCAGAAATCAAGAAAAATAAAAAATTGAAAAAAAAATATATAATTAAATTTTAATATAATATAATAAATAAAAACAAATATTTATTTGATATTTTCAAAAATAAAATAAAATAAAATAAAATAAAATAAATTGAAATAGTAATATCTAACCCAAAATCCCAACAAGCAAACACGCTATCAATGCAACAAATTTTAAACGTCAAAAAAATAAATAAATATATGAATTGTAAAATTAAAAAAAAAAAAAAAAAAGAACTAAAAATTAAATTGTCTAGATAGGCCGGTCCAGGCCCACTTTGTAAAGACCCGATTAAGCCCAAACTTGGATAGAGTGAAATAATTTTGAATGGATTTACGAATAACAAAAATATAAATTATTCAATTTTGTTAATATAAAAAATAATATTTTATATTAAATATAATTTTTTACAAATCTATGTGAATTTATATTAATATTTAAAATCGAGCCCATGTTCAAATTTTATATTGCTATGCCCAAGACTGTATTGGGATTCTAGTGGGCTTGTGGCCCAACCTTTTATGAGTTTGATATTATAATAAAGAATTACTATATGCTTCTCCGTCCTAGATAATATTGACTTATTATTGTAGATACAAAATTTAAATAAAATATAATAATTAATAAAATAATTATAAATTAATATTAACTAAAATTAAAAAATTATAAATTATAAATTTTAAAATATAATTAATATATATAATTAATTTTTTTTTTAAAAAAATAAATTATATAAGATAGACGAAATTAAAAAATAAGAACAAATTATGTGAAAGTATATATTAAAAACTCTTTATTTTTATAAAAATCTATTTTATTATTAATTTTTTTTATTTGTAGTGATAAAAAACATATAAATCATCTTAAATAAATATTATTATTTCTTCTTTTATTTAATTTGGATAATGTAAGGCATTCTATCCCCCTAACTTAATAGTATAATAACAAGTCTATAATACTCCTGTTTACAAAGTTTACATGTTTCTATTTTGAAACGTTCAGTTACAAAGTTTACATTTCATTAAATACCCTATTTTTTTTCACAAATATCCTTACTTTATATCACATTATTATTTTTACACAAAAAAAAATAAGGACAAAAATATCATTACACTACTTTTAATTACTCACTATAATTAAAATATTATAATTTTTTAAACACCGCGGCGAGTAAATGTAGCGGACGAAGGAAATATTTCATTGGATTCCACTTGGAAAAAAGTGACATAAATAATTGCGTGTCACCATACAAATGCATTGATTGCAACAAACCCAACACATGCCATGTTTATATGAAATTATCCAAATATATAATATATATTTATATATATATATATTTTTACTTACAAATTTTTGTCTTCATTGTTCATCCATTTTATTTTTAAGTACATAATTTTTTATAAATATTATTTCATATCCCACCTAATTTATTCTCTTTAATTTAGACACATAATTTTAAATATGATGTAATTAGTAAATAATTAAAAATATATTAGTAAAAATAATATAATTTAATAAAAATAATTATATATTAAAATTAAGATGACTAAATAATTTAATTAAAATAAAAAGTTATAAATTATAAATTTTAAAATGTAATTAAAGTGTATAATTATATTTCTAAAAAAAATAAAAAATATTATGTGGAACAAAAATAGAAAAAGTTGATAAATTAAGTGAGACCAAATGAACATTCCCTCTATTCCGGTTCAAAAAGGCTATTTGGAGTTTTGTTGTAGATTAAAAAATAATAATATTTTATTAGTTAGTAGAAATATGTAAGAAATTTTTGACATTTTTGCGCTTTGACTTTATTTAAAGATAATTGTATGTGTAATGATATATTTGCAATTTAGATAAAAAGTTAAGTCTATTTTAGTATTGGTGTATGATTATTTTTCCTAAAATAGGAAAGAGATACTTAGAGTAGGACGGACGAAAATGATAAAAATGGTATTTTGAGTAGAGACGAAAGGATTACAAAAAATACAATATATGTTAAAATAATAGATATATTTTAAAATTTTAATATAATATATAATTTTTTATTTTACCGATACGATTTGATATAACTAACATAAAAAAATATATTTATATTATTTTAAGATACCGCTCTGTTTCGCCGATGGAACGAGGGCGAGAGTAGAGCACACACGCTCTATGCTTTTCCCCAACTTTTTCTCGAGTAGGATAATGAGTTTTAATTAGTTAATTGTTATTAAAAATATACAAAATCATCGAAAATTTTATTATGAAAATCGACAAAAGTTTTGACTAGATTTGGTTAAGCTCAGTCTCAAATCAAACTCGGAACAAAAATCGACACTAAAACACACATAACTAGCGATTATACAAAAGAATCGGCCCAAGACTTACAATACACAAAGAAAACAACTCCACATACAAAGAAATAAGACAAACAAATGTCTACAGCGTTGAACGAGTCCCTTGCAACTACAAACAACAACAGGGAGAAAAACGTGTCAAATGAACTCCACAGAGTTACAACGGTGCCTGTGAATCGCCGTAGGAAGGTGTGAGTGAGAGAGTTTGAAGAGGCTAGAGAAGGCGAGAGTTTTAGAATGAAGTGGAAGTGTATAAAAACTTCTGACTGCGCTCTCTCTGTTTATATATACAAATCAACGGCCATAATCAATGACCTAGATCGGATGGTCAAGATCAAGTCTTGTTTTAAAAAAATGCAGATCCAGTGGCAAGTATGGGACAAGGGACTGGGTCGGGATAAGTCGGCAGCCAAGGTAGGTCGGTAGCTTTGGGTAAGTCAGGCAACCAGGGAATCGGTAGCCAGAGTAGTTGACAGCCAGGGTAGTCAATAGTCAGTAGTCAGAGAAGTCGGCAGCCTTGGATCGTACAAGAGACCAAATCTAGGGGTGAGCATTGGTTGGTTCAAACAAAAAAAAATCGATTTTTTTTTGGGTACGTGTTGTTTGGTTTGGATTGTTCAGTTAATTGATTTGGTTCGGTCCAAAACCAAATTTATAAATTTCGGTTTCAGCTTGATTATGATTTTCAATTTTTAACTTTGATTAACCGAAAATACCAAACTTTTAAAAATAGTAATAAATTATATATAAATAAATAATTTATATTATAATTTTGAGTATTTATATTTGATTGTATATTAAAAATATATATTAATAAATAAAAGTTCGGTTTCTTCGGTTTTAAACAAAACTGAACCGAACTAGTTTGGTTCGGTTTACTTGGTTTTGAAAAATTTTGGTTCGGTTTCGATTTCAATTTTTATATTTCGAAAATCGGTAAAAATTGAAAGTTCGGTTTGGTTTGAACCGAACCAACTGAATGCACACCCCTAATCAAATCAGGGTAAGTCGGTAGCTTTGGATCATGTGCCAGGGCCAAGGCTCAGGCTCATTTCAAGTTGCATAATTAGGCATGTGTCTTATTTGAAGTGGATCCAATAGAATTAAAAAATTCAAACATTAATAATAGTTAATTATGAAATTATTTATTATTTATTTTTGTATGTGATAAAATAAGAGATCAATTCTTTGTTTGAATATATGTTTAACTATTTTAAGTATTATATTTTAATCAAATATATAGAATATGATAAAATTGTAATTAATATTAAATTAATTTTAGAAAAAATAATGAGTTTAAATGTAAATTAAATATTTATTTATTAAAAAGAGAAATAAAAATAAAATAATAGTAATTTTTTATATTCAGTCTGTTCACTCAACGTTTTTTAATAATTGATTTTTTATATGTAGTTTGAAAATTGTATTAATAATATAAAAACAATATTTTATATTAAATAATTTACTTTTTATAAATCAATAATACGTTTTATATTAATATGTATATATATATATATATTTTTTAAATAATATTTATGAAAAATTATTCACTAAAAAGTACATTGAGTTATATTATATTATATTATATATATATATATATAGTATGATAGAGGAGTGGTTGGAAAATCCAACGAAACAAGCTATGTGTAGACCAACCTAGTCATCAAAGTAATAGTGAGTTTTCAAATAAATAAATCAACCAAACAGGTCATTAGGTGCAGAAGCACCGATCATGATGAGGTATTATTATTGCCGTATCGTCGTCGTTTTCTTCTTCTTCATATGGATTAAGGACCTGTTTGGCCGCGCCGAAGCTTCACCCGTCGAATTTCTCCCTGGATTTGACGGCCCTCTTCCATTTCATCTCGAAACCGGGTAAATAAATATATATATATATATATAATTTCATTTAAATCGATCCCTTGTAAATTGTGTGAGGCTTGTAGTTTTTTTTTTTTCTTAAAAAAAATTAAATTCAAAATCAAATCAAATATTTATTGAACTCCAAATTCAATCACAAATCCTTCATTTTAATTGCAATTCACACACACATATATTATATATATAAAGTATTTTTGTTTATAATTTTTATTTTTACTATAAATTAGAAGATAAAAATATCAATCATTATGCGTACATATTAAAATCCGTGTCAAAAAATATACATTTATTTTTTATGCGAAATTTAAAAAATAATAGTATTTTAATTATAGTGGACAGGTAAAAATAGTTTAATAATATTTTTTTTCTTTTTTTTTTTTTTTTATAAAAGTAATGATTTGATGTAAAGTAAGGATATATATAAAAAAAATAGAGTCTTGAATGAAATTGTTATTTTGTAATTAGATATCCCAAAATAAAAATAAATATATTTTATAGCTGAACGCAGGGAGTATTTTTTTATTAATAAAATATTATATTCAAATTATTATTCAAACTTAATCTAAAAAAATAATAATAAAAAATGTATTCTTTTGAAGTTTGGTTCTATAATATGATTATATATATATATTTTTTTTTCTTGTATGTTTTGAATTTCAATATTTTTTAAAATTAAAATGAAGTAACATATATATATATATATATGTACAGATATATTGGAGTAGATGAAGGAGAAAACGTGGAGTTGTTTTATTACTTTGTACGGTCATCGTCTTCATCAAATGGAAATGATGATCCATTGATTCTATGGTTAGTTGGTGGGCCTGGCTGCTCTGGACTTTCTGCACTCCTTTATGAGATAGGTCAATATTTAATTATTTTTTATTTTTTATTCATTATTTTGGATTTTAGATTATTACGGGTATGTTTTTTTACTCAAATTTTATTATTTGGATTCTGTATTTTTTTTAAAAAATATTCCTTCCGTCTTAAAAGTATAATTTTATTGGATTGGACACAGAATTTAAGAAAAATTGATATTATATAGGTAGTTGATAAAAAGTAAGGATAAATGACTTTTTTGTCCTTGTGAATATATTAGTATAAAAAGCAGTGGCAATTGTGTAATAATAATGAAAAAGTAAGATAGTTTTACGGTGATATGGTTATTTATGAAAATGAGATTATTGTTTTGGGACGGACAAAAATGGTAAACAAGACTGTTGTATTGAGACGGAAGGAGTATATTTTTTTTCCTTTTACAAAATATTCCATCAAACTTTATTTTAATATCAAATTCAAACCAATTTTTCTCAAACTCAACCAAAAGAAACAAACCCTAGATATGTTTTGCCATTTCAGATTATTCATTTTTTATTTTTATTTTTAAAGTAATTGTACTTAACATTATAAATACTTTTTTAATTTACAATATATTAAACAAATGTCATTACATTTATATCATACAATACTAATAAGGTTAATTTAGTCTTTTTTATTTTTTATTTATACTATATCTCACTGTAATACTAATATTTCTAAAACTCCGTAAAAATAAACGGATAGATAGATATGAGACAGAGAAATATAATATAAATAAATATATATTAGATTTAATGTTTCGAAAAAATAATATATATATATATTTATGTAGTAATATTTTAAATGATTAAGTATAATATTTATTTAGAACAAAAAATGATGATTAATGAATGGCAAATAATTTTGAAAACATGAGTAAAGAAAGTTGTTTTTGGAAATAAAATTATAAGTTTTGAATGTTTTACATAGACTATTTATTTTTTTATATGATTTTTGTTTTTTGTTATTGTTTTTTTGTTTTTGGCTTATTATCATTATAATTATATGACAATTAACAATAATGTTAAATATCAAAATAAATTATATAATGGGTTGAATTCTGTATAAATAAATCTGGGTTTGTTTTCAAAGAATAAAACCTCACTTAGGGTTCAAAGTAATGGTTTCTTTTAAAATATTTTCATAAATATTTTGGGTTTGTTCATTTTGCATATTTAGATGAATATATTTTGTTACGTTTAAGTACCAAAAATTATTTTCGTAAATGATAATATAAAAATAATATTTTATACTCATTTCGTCCTATATAAAAAGTAATATTTATTTTTTTCACATAAAGTTTTAAATATCATTATTATATAAGGTTGTAGTAAAAGACAAAAATACCTTATTAGTATTGTGAATATATTGTAACTTTGAAAGATATTTATTATATTAGGTAGAAGTACTAAATTAGAAAATAATATCCTTGTTTTTGGACGGACGAAAATGAAAAATAAAATTCTTTTTATAGGACGAAGGAAGTATTAAACTATTGATTTTTTTGTGAGTGAATTAAAAAATATACTCCATCCGTCACATATCTATATATCCATTTGTTTTTTGCACGGATTTTTAGAAATATTAGTATTATATTGAAATAAAGTACAAAATAAAGGGAAAAAAACTAAATTATCCCTATTAGTATTGTATGATATAAAGGTAATGACATTTGTGTAATATATTAGTATTATCCCTATTAGTATAATTATTAAAAAAAAATGAATATTTTGTTATGAGACAGACCAAAATAAAATAATATTTATGAGAATTATACCGTCCAAAACACTAATGAACAAATAATGGTGAATTGTATTTTATAATAATGAATAAAACCCTTTGCTTTTGAGTTTGAAAATGTGGTTTTGAGTTCTTGTAATTGTGGTTTGATGGAGTAATATTTTATATAAAAAATTAATGATAACATTTTAATTTTAAAAATTATGTTAAGAATATATGTATATATTTTGAAAATTGAGAAACTCAAAGCAAATTTGGATTTTAACGAAAAATAAAAATTAAATATATAATAAAAGAAAAAAAAAATTATAATATTTTCAATATCTACTGAATATGTGATATTTTTTTTAAAAAAAAATGGATAACTAAGTATAAAAGCACAACTGAGAAAATGGATAAGAACGAGTTATTTTTGGAAAGCCTTTTATTTTACTATTGTATACTTAATGTGACAAAAAAAAGGTTGTCGAAAAAAGAGGGTTTGTCAAATTATGAGTGCGTTTTAATTGTATTTTATAATGTTTATTTATTTATAGAGAAACCAAATGATAATTATTTAATATATATTTCAGCATATTTATAATACATTATATGTTATATTATATTTAATATATATCATATTATAAATTATATGTAAATATATATTGATTATATATATAATATATTGATTCGGTCAAATAAGTCATATATTGACTTGATCGGATCTGGTTGGATCAGTAAAGAATTTGCAACCATGGTTATACGGAATATTAAATAGAGTTCGAAATAAAATATTTGAAAGAAAAATAACATCATTAAAAAGAGGAATAAATATAAATATTCGATGTAATGTAAATAAGTTTTGTAAGTGATATTTTATACAACAACAACAAAAAAAATAAAATAAAACAATAATAATAAAAAATCTATGCAATATTTAAAAATATATATTTGAGATGATATGTTTTGAAAGAAAAATATTATTAATATATAATTATAAAAATAATTTGAAAATATATGTAAACAATTTGGGGATTTATTTGAATTGATATTTTTGAAGTATTGTTATTTGCCATAGGGCCTCTATTTATTGACAAGGGAGAAGACGAGGGCTTGCCAAAGCTATCTTTGAATCCTTATGCATGGACAAAGGTACACGAACAATCCATCCGCGTTAAACGAAACAAGTTTTAAGATTTTGAAGGGCAAAATAAGTGTGTTTGTTTTATGAAATATTTTGAAACGATATCCTTTTTTTTTTTTTTTTTTTTAATGTGAGACATAAGAAATGTGTAGATAATATAAAAATAATTAATCATATACTCCCTTTATCCCGTTGGAAGGGTGGCGTTTGCTTTTTGCACGTAGATTTTTTGAATATTAGTATTATATTGGATTGTAGTAAAAAAAACAAAAATACCCCTATTAGTATGATGTAATATAAAAATAATGACATTTGTGTAATATATTGTAATTTGAAAGGGTATTTATTATGTGAAATAAATAGTACAATTACTAGATTAGGAAATGGTAATCTTGTTTTGAGACAGACAAAAATGAAAAATGATAATCTTTCAATGGGACGGAGGAAATATCATTTTTTTTTAGAAAACATGTAAGGAAAAAATATAAAGTGAACACAGTCATTTTTACCAGTTCGACTTGCCTTTTTCAAAGAAGAAAAAGGAACTTGGGCAAGGGAAGGATTAGTCGTATGCATAAAAAAAAAATCAACAAAATTACAAAAATATTAATATTTTTCACTAAAAAAAACTTTTTGAAGAATAGAAGGACAAATTAATAAAACTATATAAATTTTTATTTTACTTTTTTCCGGCAACCATGAATGAATCAAACTAATGTATGTAGTTAACAAACATCATATTTTTGGACTTGCCTGTCGGAACGGGCTTTTCGTATGCCAAAACACTCAATGCTGCCCATTCGACTGGCTCGCAATCTTGCCATCAAGCTTATCAATTTCTTCGAAAGGTGTGTGTTTATTTATTTTGATCATCCTATAATTGATGTTTATGCTTTCCATTAATAAACATGAATTCATATTTTCAGTGGTTAATCGATCATCCAGAGTTTGCATCGAATCCATTCTACATTGGAGGGAGCTCATACACCGGCATGACGGTGCCCTTTATTGCTCGGTTAATATCCGATGGTATAGTGATTAGTGGATAAATTTTCATCGTGTACTTGTCATCATGAACTTATGGTAGCGATCTAATTATTTTTTAATGTGTCTTTGTTGCACGATGTAGGGAATGAGGCGGGAGTTGAGCCTCGGATCAACATCAAGGTTTCAGTTCTTACAAGAGAAATCACAAAATAGGCACAGTTTAAAAATTCGATCTGAACCCAATACGAAAAAATCATACTTGAGCTTTAATTAAAAAAGTTCGAAAAAATTTAGGCCATGCCTGGCGCAACACAAGTATGAACCGGGCTGTTTCCGAGCCCATCAATATCGAGTCGTGCTCTCAGTCCGTCCCAAATTTTAAATTAAATATAATTAAAAATAATAATTTTATAAATATATTAACAAATAAATTTATATATAAAAAATAAAGATATAGTGCAATGGTATAGTTCCTATCTTACAATATTATGTCATTGATTCAATTATCACACTTAATCAGAAAAAACTTAATTAAATTGTTTTAGAATTTTATTTTATTTTATTTTATTTTTTTATTTTGAAAAAAAAATTAGCTAGGATTTGTGATCGCTAAGATTTTGGAGTCGATGGTTGTAGGGATATGTGTTGGGCAACGGCGCAACATTCCCGGACGAAGGGAACTACAAGATACCATTCGCTCACGGGATGGGACTAATATCCGATGAACTCTATGAGGTTATTTATTATATGAAATTTCGGTTGCAATATTGAAAACTTTGTTCCAAGTTTCAATTTTGTCGTTTTTATCATAAGCCTCTTATGTTCGACTGCAGTCGTTAATGCAAACTTGTGAAGGGAACTACGTGAATGTAGATTCTAGCAACCATCCGTGTTTGGATAATCTCGACACTTTCCATCAGGCAAGAAGTCCTTTGCACGCTTTATTTCATTTCTATTTATGCCAATTCTTGCACCCCACTTGAATAATTACTCGATCTTGCATTTTGTAGTTGGTGGATGATTTGTCTGGTGAACAAATTTTAGACCCAACGTGCGAACGTATAGATTCAAGATCTTCACGCAATGGGCATCGAGTACTTTACAATGAAGAGCGAATTTGCACTAAAAAATGTTATGTAAGAATTCAATTACATTTATATTGCTTGAATCCCTATCAATGGTCTAATCTACGGACTTTCTTTTTTTGGTCTTAGACTTATAGGCATCAATACGTTCCTATTTGGGCTAACAATCCTAGTGTGCAAGAAGCCCTACATATTCGAGAGGTATGATTTATTACATAGCAAAACTAAAAGAATACATCGATACATACACATTTTCTTTAAAAATTTATAATCATATGAGTATAGAATTATAATATGCGTAGGGGAGCATTGTTGGATTGTGGGAGCGATGTAACCGTAGTTTGCCTTACACTAATGGGACGTGGGATAGCACTCCTATTCACGCGTATCTTAGCACGAAAGGCTATAGATCACTTATATATAGGTAAGACAATGTACAAGCATTTATGTTCGATTTATGACCATATAATCTTTTTTTTACAACATATGTAGCGGTGACCACGACATGGTTATGCCTTTCCTTTCGACGCAAGCGTGGATTAGATCTCTTAACTATTCGATTATGGATGAGTGGAGACAATGGCTTGTACGTGGGCAAATTGCCGGGTATGTAAGTTCTTGATTGTGCAACATTAGTTTGATTTCGATGTGTTAATATATATATGTTAATTTAATTTATATCGGTTTTATATTTCATATATAAATAGGCTTGCAGTCACATTGTTAATGTATATACAATTTAGAAATTCCCTAAAACATAACATAAGAAAACATAACATAAGAAATGTTCGATCGACCAATGATTTGTAAATGTCTAATTAATCTATGTACACATTGATTGTGTTAATATCTAAAAAAGTTATAAATAATAAAAATACATGCTCAATATCTAGTTTAATGAAAATTAGATTTTGAGCATGTAATTTTTCTAAGAGATTCATTGACAATATAAATAGTATGTCTCATCAATATAATACACCAATTCTGTTTAAATAGAAATTTTGTAAAAAAAAAAGTGTATTTGATGTAATTTTTTTTTTCAAAAAAATAAGTGCTAATAAATAGTTTTGCAAAAATGCCTATGTAACCGGAGCTTTTTTATTTATATTATTTAATACCCTTTTAGATTATGAATTTTTATATTTTCTAAAGAAACTTATCAAATAGTTACCCATGAAATTTTTAAAATTTTATGTTGTAAAAGATTCATCGTATGGTTACAGGTACACGAGGACTTACGCCAATAACATGACATTTGCAACCGTCAAGGCAAGAATTCATAGCCATATGCACGCATGCATTTGAATTTGAATTTAAATTTTGTTCTTTATGGGGATGACAATAGATCCGAGTCTAGTTGATATTCAATTCATTTCACCGGGATTGGATCCAAATTTTAGATATTGGGTCAATTGTCGAATAAATATTTTAGATCCAATATCAAATTTGTGTATGATGGTAGATCTAAACCAAAAATAAAAAATAAAAAATCTATATATACAAATAATTACAAATTGTTTTAAAATATAATAAATTTAATTTATAATTGGGTTTGATTGAATTTGTGTTCATGATCAAGTTAGTTAGATTTAGGCTCGAATTAAGTTAGAACTAATTAAATTTATCTTATCAGATCTCGTATCTTACCATATTTTATGTGCTGCTTATATATTGAAGGGAGGCGCCCATGTAGCTCCGGAGAGCAACCCCGAGGAATGTTTTGCGATGTTCGAAAGATGGATTTCTTACAAGCCTCTCTAATATTATCGGAAAAGTTGTGTAAGCTTGCGTGGAGCTTGTCTAAGTTGTGTTATGTGTTGAAATGCCGATTTGATCCATTGAACTATTTTATCGAATAGTATTGAACGTGTTCAATAATCTAGGGTACTTGTTGAACTATGTAAGATGCTCGACTCATAGACATAAGATTGTGTTATTTTATTATTTTATTTATTTATTTTTAATAGTGTTGGAATCCACAGCTATTACTATTTCGGTGCACATTGCTAAACAAACCGTGACGGAATCAACTTCTAAATTTTGGAGATTCAAGATATTTGTTCACTTCCACTGAGGTGAAGAAAAAAGAGAATATATATATATGAAAGAAAGAAGAAAAAACCTAGGGGAACACGAAAAGATAAGTTTAAGTTAGGAGGACAATTTTATAAGAATATATATATATATACACATATAATACACTTAAAAAAACAATAAAATTGGGGGCTAGTGTCAGCTGTACCAAACTCCATTTAATTTTGTCTTGTAAACTAATTTTGTGTTATAGAAAATGATATTATTTCTATTTTAAAATGTTTCATCAAAATTATATAGTCTAAAAGAAGCTAAAACAAGTAAACAAAATAGAACAATTATTATGAGATCATTCAATTGAAATATCAACTAACTAACTATTAAGATCAACTAAGCAAAAATCCCTCACCCAAGCTTCAATTCACTTCAATATATAATTCATGAAGCATACATTATTTTCCCACAAAGAAATTGCATCTAAATCAAATTTGAGGATTTCAAATATTAGAACAATGTAATAACATATATATATATATATCAAAGAGGTTTATACGACATCCATCGTTTGAACATGGCCGCGCATTCCTTTGGGTGACTTGATCCCGGCGTATGTGACCCTCCCTACAACCAAATCACCCGACATTTCTTTCAAACACACCACAATATGTATGATCGTACGTATCACAAATCCTAAATATATTTTTAGACAAAAAAAAAAAAAAAAATTGTTACCTTCACTGTCGCAAACGTCATATTGTTAGCATAACTCCTCGTATACCTACACACACAATTTTAATTTAGACTTGCAAAAATGAAAGACCTCGATGAGATCTTCAAAATTAATCGCAACGTACCCGGCAACAACTCCTTCAACAAACCATGGCCTCCACTCGTCGACAATGGAATAGTTTAGAGATCGTATCCATGCTTGAGTCGATATGAAAGGAACCACCATGTCGTGATCACCGCTACATGTATATACGATATAAGAGAAAAAAAAAATCATCAAAATTGCTTACAACTTACCTGTAGTCTGAAAAGTCTGGATCATTCTTTTATATATATATATATATATCTAGAAATTGCACAATATTCCTTCTTGTTTTTAAAAACATTGAACAAAATCCCCCAATAACCATTATCCTTTGGGAGATTTTACAAGATTTTCCTTATTCCTTAAAAAAAAAAAAGAAAAAGAAATTCTCCAATAAACATCACATCAAATATATTGAGTATATATTTATTATACTCAAAATCTTTTAATTCAAAATTTTACTGTTCGAAATCTATAAGTCTAAACAAACATACTTGAGCATTGCAGATTAAGAGATTTTGTACAATATTTTTAAAACACAAAAGAATATTGTGGTTTTGTTTTTAACTAGACGTAGACTTTTCAAATCACATGTGTTATGAGTAATTATGCCCCCCCTCCCCCAAAAAAAAAAAAAAATAGTGACAAGAATTTAATCAGCAAGCTCTAATTTAAAACATTCTTCATTCGAATTTTGAATAAATTGTGACAAATATCATAAATTGTACCTATATATAAGCGATCGATAGCCTTTGGCGCTTAGATTCGCATGATAAGGCGTGCTATCCCACAAAATATCTGTATGAGGAATGCTATGGTTGCACCGTATAAATTCTTCTACAGTTCCCTGAATTACACGCACCGAATGTTTTTACATCCTTGATTGTGGATAAACAAAATTTTAGTGTACTAATAAAGTGTTACCTTTCGGACATGAAGAGCTTCTTGAACATGAGGATCGCTAGCCCAATGATCAATAAAATTGAGGCGATAATTCTACGAAAAAAAATTCGCCAATTAGAAAAACAATTGTAGTATAGTATAAAAAATTGTCATTAAGTTCTTACATAACATGACTTCATTGGAGGAAGTTGTCTGATTTCATCGAGCTCTTGGTGTCCATTGCTCGCGCTATCGCCCTTCATCCTTAATTTTTGACAAGATGATTCGAAAACTTGTTTGAGGAAATCTTCGACCAACTAGGGAAAATGCGAGATGACAAAATGTTATTACAAGGTATATTTGATGTGTAATAAACCTAAATAATTCAAATAATAGTAAAACATTTGCAATGACCTGATGCAATGTTCGAAAGTTCCTTGAACACTCGAAGGAATCCTTTCCTGTGTAGTTTGCTTTGCAAGTTTGCATCAGTGACTGTTGAACAAAAAATCGAAAATCAAGATTTAAATTGTTAGGACAAATTATTTACTTAGTACATCTTACATAACACCAATTTCTTGCAAATTGCTGATGGTTGTTGCTGCTGTCGAGAGTTCTTTCATCGATCTCCATGCTTGGTCTTGGCCGAGGATCACATGTAGTTTCTAAAATTTGCTCCTCGAACAGAACATCGACTAACTAAATTATGCGAAAACAAAATGAAAAATAAAAATTAGTATGAGAGTGTGTAATAATCATACAAGAATTAAGGAATGGATTTAAAAACCTGATGGAATTTTTGGACATCCTTTAAACATGCCAAATTGTTGGAATCCACATTTATGTAGCTTCCATTGCAATTTTCCTTCAAAGACTATTGATCAAAAAAGAAATTCAGGATTCATATTATAATGCATATATATATATTTGTTCTCCACGTGTCATTTTATCATTTTAAACATGTAAATAAACTGTATCCTATTAGTCTCCGGCACCATATGGATTATTTAAAATGAAGAAATATATAAGTCAGTAAAAATTTTGCTTTGGTCCAATTATTTATTTTAAAAAAAATTACATGGTGTCGGAACTGTTTATGCGTCATTATATGTCAGCTCTGACCTTCTAAGTCTATGTCATATTAATGTCACAATTTAAAAGTTGTGGGACTAATCCTACACATAATCTAATTCCTAAATTTATGAAAGGTCTCCTGGAGTATAAAAAATTGTAAATAATTTACCCATAAATATTGATTTTATGACAAACAACCTCGTACAATTCATCTGGAATAAGTCCCATTCCATGAGCAAATGGTATTCTATAGTCGCCATCAGCTGGAAATGTCGTCCCGGGATTGCCAAGCACATACCCCTAATGAAGAAAAAAAATACAAATAAATTGTTATACAACATTTTCAATATTAATATAGACGATTAACAATAGATAATTATGAGTAAAATTGTGCTCTAAAAAAAATAAAATATTTTTGCCATGACAATATTTCAATTTTTTATAATCTTTGGCGTATTTGTAATTTTAAACTTATTTACGAAAGTAGGGCTGCCTATTGATTTTATGACATTTCCTCTTTCGAAGATTATTGATAAAATTCTTAGCTAACCTTAAGGTTAACCCGAGGATCGATTGTTGCCTCATTTCCTGCATTGAAATAACGGTAATAAGAAGATAGAAACATTTTTCATTACTTTATGACAGCTAAAATGGAGATAATAAATTTCAATTAAGAATCAAAATATTATAAAACTCACCATTTGATATAAAATCAACAATGACCGGTACAGTTATGCCTACATATGAATTTCCTCCGACATAAAATGGATTCGATGCAAACTCTGGATGATCGATTAACCACTGCATACATATAAATATATATTGCCAAAATATAAATACATTAGAGTAGCAATATCTACTAGGGATGGTTAGGGTACTTATTAGGATCATACTGATCAGCCCTAATCAACACAGTAAGTATAAACGAAAATAATATGGTTTGAACTGATATATTATGTGTTATGTGAACTATTATCCTGTATTGTCAGTTCATATGTTTTATTTATGTTATATTAAGATACACGTGCATTGTTAGTATATATCTCATGTGGTGTCGGTATATATACTTCATTTGTTAATTAGCTCAATTAAGTATTTTAACCACTGTATTTACCGAGTATTTTACATATATAGAAAGATTAAATTAATTGAACTCTGGTTTAAAAAAATTAAGTAACTTATAAAAAGAGCGACTCATTAAAATGATAAATAATTTTGATATATCTTTGATGCATATGGTCTTATATGAGTTGGTTTATGCTTTCGTCGTCATTTATATATTACTAGAACAATCCTTAAGATAGAATCGAGTCTTAAAAAGGAAGGGTAGGGGTAGATGAATTAGTAGAATTAATATTCTATTCGTAGATATAAACAATTTTTTTTGAAGAAACTATATAATATTATCTTGTTCGAGTTATATCCAACTATTGTTCATAATTAAATGTATCATTTGCAACAAGTTTACTACGTTTATTCCATCTTTTATCGTTGGCGTACTTCAATAGAATATTTATTACTCCCTCAGTCTACTATCAATATACCTATATTATCATTTTGAGTTGTCAACAATCAATTGATTAATTTTTTAATTAGTGCATGCGATCATCACATAAATAAAATAATTTCATCTAAAACTACAATCATATACATTCTCTATCAACTGTATTTTTTTAGAACATTTTATTCAGTACACTCTTACACACTATTCAACAGATATAAAATACTAATATTTATTAATCTACGTATAGAAAGTAAATATATACATACATTCTAGATAAAAAGAATAATAATAATAATAATAATAATAAAATTTCTTGACAACATTAAAGAACAAATTGGATTACCTTTTGTACAAATTGATGGGCGTGCTCACACGATTGCAAGCCCGTAGATCGCAAAGCCTCGGGCGTTCTAGCATAGGAGTATCCGGTCCCGACTGGCAAATCTAGATATATTATGTTTGCTGCCTAAGAATTGATCGGAGATGTTAAGGTTATCGAATTCGTAGGAAAAAAAAAATAATATGATCAAGCTTGTAATGTAATATAATATTTCACCTCTGTAAATGCATGAGGATGCATCGACAATGTTGGCAAGCTTTCATCATTTTCCCGATCTATAAGCAACGGTCCTAATATAAAATTTTATACTTTAGATTCGTTACTTATATTTATTTTCGATATTTTTTTACGGTTTAATATGTCAACTCTCACTAGAACATTACACACACATTAAAAATAAAAATAAAAATAAAAATAAAAAAAACTCCTATGTAAATGAAATAGGAATTGAGTTACATATGCTATTGATGGATGCTATAAAAAAACAAGAAATTAAAAAGGCAATAATAATAATAATAATAATAATAATAATAAAAGTTAGATTGAAAAACTTACAAAATAAATGGAAGGTAACAAATTTAATTGCCTTTTGAATACAAGGAGATTAAGGATTCGTTTGATTTGTATTGAGATTTAAATTTTTTATTTGACAAAGTTAAGAAAATTAACCAAAAAACCTATGGAATTAAATTTATGGATTTCAAAATCTACAAGTTTATGTTAAAAGGAAACATCAAAACATGTTTTATTTTTCAATTTCAAATATTAAATTTTTTATTAAAAAACATTCATATTCAACTCCTATTCAGTGCATATTCAACTTTCAATTTTATTCAAAAACTGTCGAAATCAAAACTATAAAAATTAAATTAAAATACAATAAATACATTTTACCAATCTCAAATAGGAGCGACGATAAAGAAGAGCAGCCGGGGCCTCCGATCAGCCAAAGTACGATAGGATCCTTTTCGGGATTAGAGTTTGATTTCACAAAGAAATAAAAAAGTTGCACTTTCTCTTCTTCACCCACTCCAATGTATCTACACATCAACAAAATTCCCCATTTTTTCAATTATTTATATTTTTTCATAAAAAAAAATCAAATCAAATATATATATATATATATCTCTTTAATATCACATCAGACGCATCTGCAATTCAAATTTTTACTATTCATAATTCTAAACCCCAAAACCCTACGTCAAAATATACCTGAAAACTTCTTGATGATTCAATTTTCAAATTCAATTAAAATTGGGCGAAGAAAATAGTGTACCCCGTTTCGAGATGAATGGGAAGAGGGCCTTCAAAACCCGGGAGAAATTTCACTTGCGAAGCTCCGCCATCGACAAATTGGCATCGAAATGCAAGAAGAAAAACCAAGAAGAAAATAATCGAGAGATGGTGACTATGTTTCATGATGGAAGATTCTAGATTTGCAAGTTCTAGCTAGTGTAAGGCTTATATAGTAATAAAAATTATTTTCTTTTTTCTTAATATATATATATTAATTAATGTAGTAATAAAAATTCCAACCAATAATAAAGTACTTTCTAATACTAGTTACTATTTGTAAGAAATAGGGCCCACATGGATTGATTTCTTACAACATTATAGATGCACTTTATCTAATTTATAATTCAAAATTGCTGATGTTGTAATTAGATTTTGGTTCGAATTTTTGGAATTTTGAATTGAATTTTTTTTTAAAAATTTGAATTTTGAATTAGTTCAAATCTGTATATACTAAAAATCCAACAACGGTAAAATAAGAAATATAATATATTAATTTAAATATTAATATGAATGTGTACATGTCAGCATATTAACAAGTTGCCTATGTAAATACCTTTTTATTTATTTAAGTGCTCACTAATTTTAGAATCTTCTTAACAAAGTATTTATTTATTTTAGTAACTGTATTATGTACTTAACATTACAAATACTTTTACAATTTACAATATATTACACAAATATCATTACCTTTATATCATGCATACTAATAAGATTATTTTAGTTATTTCTACCTTATTCTTATTGCATCCCAATATAATACTAATAAATAAATAGATATTTAGTTATGGGACGGAGGGAGTATATAAATTCAAAATTTGAGTACACAAAATGTAAAATTTTATATAGAAAATTATCTACTCAATTTTGAGATGGATGGAAATAAGGTTTTAAGGATCTGTTTGGTTTTGGCCTCAAATTTAAAATAAGATTATTACGAGAAAAATTGCAAAAATATTATTGTATATATGTCTAATTATTACTTTTTTTTTTAATTGTATCATAATAAAATACATTCTAATATTTGCATATTTGCGGTGAGTTTCTTATATTGTAAAATTCACGCGTTGTTGTCATTTAATGAGACAATATAAGATATGTATATATTGTTAGGTGTTCATGAAATACAATGTAAGTGACAGTTACGAGTGAGATAAAAGTTCACTGGCTGTCAATAATTTTTTTAGAAATTAGAGAGTTATAAAACTCATATGATATTTTAAATATAAAATAAATTTATAATATAGTATGAAAAAAAAATTATTATTTAATTTGATATTATTAGAAAAAAAAAAAGAATAATAAATTTTTGTTAAAACCCACAAAATAGCACAAACGCACTATTATTATAATCTATAATTAGTGGGCTTTATAATTTAAAAAGAAAAAGCATTACTAAATTGGGCTTGCATTAGAAATTGAATAATGGGCCCGAATCCGGAACAGAACCAACCCGATCCAGTTCATTATAAATGGGTCGGGTCCTAGCATACTGTAAAACCCTCAAAACCTAGACGACATCATTCGTTTGCCCTCGCCTCGAGTCGCCGACCTCCGCCGTTCTTGTGATGCTTCTTCGCTCCTCAACGCAATTCCGACAAGATTTTGGGGGAATCAATCAATAGCCACAAATGCCTAAGCTTCACAGGATCAGCTCGGTCGACTGGTCGCCGTCCGCCGTCGTCGCCCTGGCCACTAGCGCCGACGGTTCGCAGGTCGCCGCCGCTCGGGCCGACGGATCGCTCGAGATTTGGCTCGTCTCTCCCGGCTCCGTCGGCTGGCACTGTCAGCTTGTACGCCACACCACTCTTGATGTTTTTTCGCATATTGTTTTTGTATTTGCGAATTTGATTGGTGTTATTTGTTTTTGGCGGATTTCATGTGTAGAGAATACATGGAGATCCGAATTCGAGAGTTTCTTCGTTGGTGTGGTGTCGGTCGGGGCCGAGGGGAAGGCCTTTGGACAAGCTGTTGTCGTCGGACATCGATGGATCGATTTCAGAGTGGGATTTGCTCGATTTGAGGCAAAAGGTTAATAGCCCTAGTTCTTGAGATTTTACACAGTCCCTAAGGCATTGTTCTTTGTACTGACAATTTGGACATTTCGAATTTAGCCCTGGAATATAATTTGCTTAGCATTAATTGTAGAGATTTTTTTAATCAATTGCATTTGTATTGATTTGTTTATGATGTGTTGGAGAATATAATAAATTTTTTTTTCAAACAAAGCTTAGTTGAATATCTATGTGCTAAGGTTTTGTTGTATTCGCCTAAGCTGTAGCATATTTCATTTGAATGTAGTTTGTAATAACTTGTGCGGAATGGGAGAATCTTATTATGAGAATTTCCAATTTATGAATGTAATAATTGTTGCTTTGTATTAATTGCAGACGGTTTTAGATTCCATCGGCTTCTCGATATGGCAGATTGCAGCTGAACCACCACGAGATGAACAGTTCAATGTAAACAAGGAAAGCAAGAGTACTGAAAATGGATCTGTTAGTCCTTCAATCATCAGTGGCATTAGCGAAGACGATGCTAGTGAAAGCGAAGATGAATACAACAATGCAGTTGAGGTTCATGAGCAGAGTGATGCCAGTAATACGTGTGTAGCATTGGCCTGTGATGATGGCTGTGTGCGAATATACTGTGTTTCTGATTCCGAAAAACTCACATATAAAAGAACACTGCCTAGGGTTAGTGGTGAGGCATCTTCCCCGAGTAGTTGAGAAACTTTCCCTGCTTTCATAATTCTAGTCATATTAAATTCTTGTTTCGTATTTGTCATTCGCAGGGCGTACGCTAAGTGTTGCCTGGAGTTCAGATGGAAAGAGGATATTTTCTGGAAGTAGCGACGGGTATTCTAGTGTTTATACTATATGATAATTCATAAATATTGATGTTGCAGATGTAAAATTCATATATTGTTAGACACTCCGGGGATGCCCTTTAATTTGTTCTCTTTGGTTTTTGGTATTTAAAAAAATTAGGTTTATAAGATGTTGGGATGCTGAAAGAGCTCTCGAGATTTATAGAATAACTGCTGGGCTTGGAGGTTTGGGGAGTGGAGATGATCTTTGCATATGGTCGCTACTTGCATTAAGGTATTGGTTCTATCCTAATCTCATTTTTATCCTCGAATGGATTAGTTATAATCTGTTTGTCAGACCTGGTGGCTTTATTCATTTTTAGATTTCTCGTATTCTTATTTACTGTTTTTCTGTTGTCTTTCTTATCATTGTTTCAGATGTGGGACGCTTGTAAGCGGGGATAGTTCTGGTAGTGTGCAGTTTTGGGATGGTCGACTTGGAACCCTTTTGCAGGCCAATTCTTACCATAAGGGAGATGTAAATGCCTTAGCAGCAGCCCCTAGCAATAACAGAGTGTTTTCTGCTGGCTCTGATGGTCAGGTGTGTTTCGTCTTCTATAATAAATAATTATATTGTGTATGATCATTGGTGTATTCCTGCAATCCCATCAGTATAATGTGTTCATGTGTCAAGATTTATGAAGTTCTGAATCTGAAAGAAGATTTTCGTGGAAAATTCTGGTTCTCTAATGTTTCTTTTGGTTGTTGTTATTTTAGATACATTACAAAGACTTTGGTTTTTCGACCATCTTTATCAATGCTTACAGTTTAGGATGTATGTAATTCGTAATCTGATGGATAATGTAAATTAAAACCATTTATGTCATTTGTACCTGATCATTGCTTTCGATTAACTGTTCTGTTAAACATAATGATACTCGCAATTGTTGCAGGTCATACTTTATAAACTTTCTAGCGAGGCAATTGGCTCTAATAATGCTATGCCTGTTTCGGAAACTATTAAGAAATGGATTTATGTTGGCTATGTGAGAGCCCATTCGCATGATGTGAGGGCATTAACTGTAGCTGTACCTATCTGCGATGAAGGTAATGGAGTGGAAGGCTACTGGGTTGAATTAATTTAAGATTTTGTATGTTTCCTCGTTATTTTTGTTTTACTGACCAAATTCCTTTCCTATTCTCTTTCGATCAACAGATCTAACTCCAGTTGAAAAGGTGAAGAAATTACGTGGCCGGGTAAAGCCCCTTGAATTTAGTTACCATAAGTGGGCTCATTTGGGGGTGCCCATGCTGATATCAGCAGGTGACGACACTAAACTTTATGCATTTTCTGTGAAAGAGTTCTCCAAGTTTTCTCCACACGATATATGTCCTGTACCGCAGAGAATGCCAATGCAGCTTGTGTTGAAAACAGTTTTTAACCAGACCCCGTTGCTTTTCATCCAGTCCACAAACTGTTTAGAAATCCATTGTGTGCATCTAAAAAATGGTTCTGTATCTGATGCATCTCCTGGTCCGTCTGTTGCGCCTGCAAACACTGATTTAGTGGCACGGATTAAATGTAAATCTTCTCGGAAGGTCATATGTAGTGCGATTTCTTCATCTGGAGCATATTTTGCTTACTCTGACCATACAAAATCCAGTTTATTTCAATTGAAGAGAAATAAATCGGATGATAGGTGGACTGTGAGTCAAAGGAAAAACTCTTGTAAATTACCTTTTTCCCATTGCATGGTATTCACGTCTGATTCTTCAAAGTTGCTGTTAGCCGGTCATGATAGAAGAATATATGTAAGTACTTTCTTTCTTGTTTTTTGATAATTCACTTGATTTTTGTTATCTATATTTTCTTATGAATAAATATGCCATTAGAATATCTATTTGGGGATGACAACCAATCGACTTGGAATTACGTAACTGCTATAGAATTGTTCTTATTGTACTAATTTGAAATTCTTTTATAAATGTGCGAAACACGCTGAAATGGGATTTTATTATTTACAACTAAATGGCACCTTTACATTTTGGTGTTTTGATTTGAAATTAGCAACTTGAAGACCTAGTTTAGAATTCGTGAATTGAGAGTTCGAGTCTCTTCGTGATATGCTTATATATAGTTTTTAGGAACTTGTACAATTAGCAACTTGTGAATTCATGTAGTTATTGAATTTTGTGAACTATCCTCATGTTACGTGCCTGAATTGATTGTACCAATTCATGTAGAATTCTTGAATTGAGAGTTTGAGCTTCTTTGTAATAATGCTTATATATTGTACTCTTAGTATGTATTGTTCTAATAAGAATGAGGAAGTTTTGTAGTGAAAGTAGAATTTTCGACACCATCCTGATGCAGTGCTTGAATTGATTCTCCCGTCTCTTTTGTCTTCCGTTAATTGTTTTGGAAAACAACCCTAATTTCCTTGCTGACAATGGAATATCTATCATGCATCGATGTGCTTGTATTTGTAGTTATTAAAACATTCTTTGAAGTTATTGGGACTGCAAAAACAGTAAAAATCTGTACCTGGAATCTCGTCTTTGTATCAACTGGAAGTGGTTGTGCTCATGTTTTTTTTTTTCTAATTTTGTTGCAGCTGGTAGATGTTGAAAGTGCGAAGATAGCCCACGAATTCACCCCGCGTCATGAAGATGGTGAGGATAATCCACTGCCCAGTGAACCTCCGATTACAAAAATGCTCACAAGCACAGATGGTCAATGGTTAGCCGCCATCGGCTGTTTCGGAGATATCTATATTTTCAATCTCGAGACACTAAGGTATGCAATAGATGCTTTTTTCGGTAGTGGGTTTAGCATTTACGGATATCCCCACCTGACAAAAGTTCGCGACACAATACTGCTCGTATTATCCCATTCTGTTTCAATTTCAGTTGACGGCTAACTTTTTCTTTAACAGGCAACACTGGTATATATCAAAATTAGACGGCGCATCCGTCTCTGCTGCTGGCTTTACCCCTCAAAATGGCAACATTCTCATTGTTTCGACATCTTCTAACCGAGTTTATGCATTGGATGTGGAGGCCAAACAGTTAGGGGAGTGGTCTAGGCGTCATACGTTTTCTCTCCCTAGAAGATATCAAGAGTTTCCGGGAGAAGTTATCGGTCTTTCATTTCCACCCTCGCCTACCTCGTCATCCGTCATTGTTTATAGTCCCTGGTAATTTCCTATTCCCGTAACTCTGGTAACTTACATTTCAAACGAATGAATATCCGCTTCTTGATCTTGAAAATTATTTGTCGTATCGACCTTTTTTCCCCAACTTATTTTTGGTTCCTAATGTATCAAAAGTAGATGACTCTTTCTATAATTGTAGCTTCACATGTCATACATAAGATTCCCATTTCCTTTTTAGAATTGTGCCAAAAATTCATTTATAGCTTGATAGCTTTTTTTAGGGTTTAGGTTTCGGGTTTGAATTTTGAACATTAACCTTTTGAATTTAGATCGGTATTTGATATGTTGTTTTGAATGTAAATTTGATCTTTAGTATAATATAAAAAATAAAAAATAGATGTTTGAATAGGAAAAGAATTTCAAAAAATCGGAAAAGATCACAATCATTGGGTTTGTTTTGTTTTGATTTAAATGGTAAAAGTAAATGCATAGGGAACATATGAACATTAAAATTTTAATTTTATTTAGCAAATTCAAGCATGTTTATTTATTTATTTATTTACATTTCTGTTTGATATCCATCTTCAACTAACACGATGTGATTCTCTAGGGCAATGTGCATGATCGATTTTGGACTGCCCGTTAACAAAGACGAGACTGAATTGACGAGCAGCCATGGTTTGATGCGGAAGCTGCGCAACAACGGATTACTAAAGCGTAAACTCCAAGAACTCGAAACTAAACAGCAAAGTGTTAGAATGAACTTCGAGCTCTGCGCTTTCAAAGATCCCGTTCTATTCGTCCAACATGTCTCGAAAAATTCCATCTTGGTTATTGACAAACAATGGAAGCAAGTCGTCCGCACGTTCGACGCCCAGCCTGTTCATAGACACATATACGGGACATAAAGGGGGCCTCTTACAATGAAGGTTAGCAATTTTTTTCCTTCATTCAATTTTGTACTTGCTTCTTGTGTGGCTGGTGGGGTGGGGTAGGGTGTCGAGGGGTAGGGTAAAAGGGGATATCTTGGCCATGTTGTGCATTGTATTCTTGTTTTGCAACTCTTTTGAGAAGTTATAGTAACTTAACCTTCTAATGCACAATTTTCCATTTGTTTACAACTTTGTTTACCATTTTATTTTTATTTTATTTTTTCATATATATATATATATATGTTTGTGTGGATGATTTGATTTGTGGGATATTTTTATAATGTTATAGCAAATATTTATAAAAAAAAAAAGTAGCATATATATAATTAATAATACAATATATATATATATATAATATGGCAAATTATATGATTATATAGCTTAATATATTTTGATTTTAAGAAGAAATAGAATTCACACCACATATGTTTTATATACTCCAGCTATAAATATACATATTTTTATTTTGTTATGTCCAATTACAAAGTAATTATTTTATTAAATACTCAATTTTTTTTTACAAATATTTTAATTTTATATCATATTATTATTTTTATATCAAAAAGTAAGAGTGTCATTGTACTATTTTTATCTACCACTATAATTAAAATACCAAAAGTAAATGTATACTAATTGTTTGAACTGAGGGAGTACTGTTTTATGAGATTTGCTAATTATTTCAAAAGAATATGTTATTTTGGTAATATATTATATATGGTGTATTGATTTGTTAATTATTTTAAATTAAATGGATATATATATAATTCAATTATATCTATTTTAAAAACTACATATATAATTGGACCATTTATGGTAATGGTCTCAATTATCACATTATAATGATACGTATATAGTGCATTATAACCGTCCAAATTTAAAGGTTCTTGAAAGTTGTGTATATTAAAAAATATTACTGTGATATTTTATTAATCAGTGTAACTATCTAATATATCTTTGCATTTTATTGAAAGAGTAAAGAGTATTTTAATATTAATATATAATTATTATTAATAATAAAAAAATAATATCTTTAAATAGAACAAATAAAAATAATAAAAAAATATTTAAAATTAAACGAATGAAACACCTGAGTGTTGTCGGTATTTGGATATATTTACAGTCATAATAATAATAATAATAATAATAATAATAATAATAATATAGTGAAATTAGATGAGAATCATTGTAGTAAATTTAAAAAATAGAGTAAAATGTAACTGTCTATCTAACATAATTTGTGATAACATAAATGAAAAGTAAATTATTTAAATGGGAAACCAGAGGAATATAATTTTATAATTAGGATATTATTATTATTATTATTATTTTTATTATATTTGCTTGGGATCTCTAAACTCGCCATATTGCGCGGATGCTTTTTTCTGTTTGGGAGTGTACAATTCACTAAACGTGTTTTTAGATGAAAAATATTTTCTTTTATATGTGGTACGAAAAATTATTTTTAAAAATATAAAATATATTATTTTTTAATTAAATATTTAATATTTTTGTAATAAATATTTCAAATTATTTTTATAATGAATATTTGAATTTTATTTTTTTACTTTTAAATTTTTATATAAAATATTTTACTATTTTTTTATTGTTTTTAATTATTATTTGTAAAAGTAAAACTAATAAAATTATTTACAAATAAAATTATTTTTTGCTTAATGATTTTTTAATATTAATTATTATATGTAAATTTAGTCTATATTAAGGAAAAATGACAAAAATATTTCTATTAGTGTATTATATATAATGATATATGTGTAAAAGAATATACAAATATAATGATATTTTTAATGTTAAGTACAATGATCGAATCTCTTATAATCAAACGAATAGAGTAATTCTTTTTTATATATAAAAAAAAAAAATTAATTTAAATTTTTAAAAAAAATCACAATAAATAAATATTATGAAGATAAACACGAGCAAACAAATAATCAATCAATCAGTTTTTGATGTTGACTTATTCTCGGTGTGGCATTCGTGTGTTTCTCTTACTAATATTATTATATTCAATAAATAATAATAATAATAATAATAATAATAATAATAATAATAGTAAATAAATAAATAAATTGTGGGGGTGGGTGGCTGCAATCACGAGGTCCAGTCTCGTTTTGTTAAAATATTCTTTTACACACATTTGGGTGTGTTTGTTCGGGCATTGGTGTTCATTCAATTTTTTTCTTCAAAAATATTAAATTAAATATATTTTTTTTATTTTTTATATTAAGTTAAAAATTAATTTTACATTCAAAACATCACATCAATACCTATTTATATCACATCATACAATTATTCAAATTCAAAATTTTTACTATTTAAATCTCAATTCAAAATCCAAGCTCTAACACAAACACAGAGGACAAACATTTCTATCTAACATGGGACTTTTTTTCACTAACAAATCCCATTAAATAATATCAATATTTGTATATGCATAATTTTTAAAATTTTAATAATATTCGTTGAAAATACTCCCTCCGTCCCATAAGTAAATATTTATTTGTTTTTTCACGTAATTTTAGAAATATTAGTATTATATTGGGATATAGTAAGAATAAAGTAGAAATGACTAAAATAACCTTATTAGTATGTGTGATATAAAGGTAATGACATTTGTGTAATATATTGTAAGTTGTAAGAGTATTTGTAATGTTAGGCAGATAGTACAGTTACTAAAAAAGGAAATGAATCTTTTGTTATGTGACGGACTAAAATGGAAAAATAGATACTTAGTTATGGGACGAAGGGAGTAATATTTTTAAATATATATATATATATGAATTATATTTTCTCGTTAAAACTAAAGCTGATAATTAGCTGAAGTAAATTTAAATTTTTGTATTTGAATTTGGCTCGTGATCATATCTCTTTAGTACGAGATACAAACTTAAATATTTATTTGAACTTGACCAATTAAACAATATTTTTGTCGTATTCAAGAGTTTATTTTTATTTTATTTAAATTTAAATTCACTTAACAATAATAATAGTATTTATTATTATTTTTTTTAAAAAAGAATGAAATATAATATTATAAAAATATATTGAGTGTGTTTGTTTGTAGAGGTGTGGTTATGTTTTACTCCCTACGTCGCAGATACCATGTCCACGTTGTCGTTTCTGTCCGTCCCACATACCATGTTACTTTCTTTTTTTGGAAAATGATTACACACTTTAATCTCATTTTAAATTTTTTAATTTTTTTTAATTTTAATTAAACTAATTAGTTATCTTAATCTTAATTTATAATTATTTATATTATAGGATAATTATTTTCACTAACACATTCTTAATTATCTACTAATTACACCCCTCCTAAAATATCTTATCTACAGTGTAGCAGACACGGTATCTGGGACGGAGATAGTACTATTTAAGAAAATATTTTTTATAAATATTAAATCAAATATTTATTTACTTTCGTTCCAATTTAAATGAGAGGTTTTTTTAAATTTTATAGTAGGTTAAAAAATATTAATATTTTATTGATTAGTAAAAATATATAAATAATTTTAATATTTTATCTGATTAATAGTATATTTGTAATTTATACTTCCTCCGTCCCAAAAGTATAGTCTTGTTGGATTGGGTACGAAATTTAAGAAATATTGATATTATATTGGTAGTCGGTAAAAAATAAGGATAAATGACTTATTTGCCCTTGTGGGTATATTAGTGTAAATAATGATAGTTTTATGGTGATATGATTATTTATGAAAATGATATCATTGTTTTGAGAATGACAAAAATAATAAATAAGACTATTCTATTAGGACGGATGAAGTATAAAAATAATAATATTATAATAATTATCAAAAACACATTATTTCCCTAACTCTTATGCACATGTCCATAAATAAATTTAATCTCACCATGTGTATGCATGCATATATATATATATTTAAAAAAATACTCCAAAATCGTTATTTTTTTAATATGCTTTAGGTAAATATAATATCATTAGTTAATTTTTTAATCCGTTTTTAGTAAACTTCCGATCGAACCTAAAAAAATCGCAAACTATACCCAACAAGGCAAGTAACAATAGGTCAATTATGTGACAGACAATACTCAGATTTTTACGCGACAATAATAATATTTTATTGGTCAGTAGAAATGTAAAATATAGTATTAATATTTTGCTTTTGCTTATTTTTACAAAAATCAGAGGTTTTTAATATTTATATATCAATTATTTTTATTAAAAAAAAACTTTTGAGGATACATTGAATTGGGACCAGACTATAATACTTCCTCTTTCGTCCCATAAAAGATGTCTTATTGGGAGTGGATACGAGAATTAATGAATAATACTTCTTCCGTTCCTTAACGATCTATCTATTTTTTCATTTTCGTTCGTTTCATAATAAAATATCTATTTGTTTTTCTAGTAATTGTACTATTTAACATTACAAATACTCTTCCAATTTACAATATATTACACAAATGACATTACTTTTATATCCTACAATACTAATAAGGACAATAAAGACAATTTAGTCTTTTTACCTTTACTTCTACTGAAATAGAAAGTAAAAGTAAAAGACTAAAATACCTTTACTTTTTAAATTATTTTAAAAAGTAGATTAGAGTAATAATTAGGGATAGTTTAGAAAATTAGAAATAATTTTTTTATAAAGTGGATATGATTATTAAATAAAGAAACAAGACAATTGTTTTGGGACGAACGAAAATGAAAAAATAATACAACTTTATTGGGATGGAAGGAGTATATTTTTGCTATATATTCTATTAGAAATTTATATTAATAAATTATTTAAAAAAAAAAAAAAAAACACTACACCGTTCACCGTTCGTTTTCATTTTCAAATCGCATCTAATATTTGCTTTTAATTTAATGAAATAAGTATGATGTGTTCTTTAATTCTTTTTATTTTATTGTTAAACTCTCGTATTTAAATTTTCAATAAATATATATATATATATATATTTCTAGCATAATATTATTGTAGTATTAAATTTTATTTTTTATTTAAAATATTAAATAAAAATTGTATTTGTAATATAAAAAATAATATTTTGTATTGAATAATTGACATTTTAGGAATGAATAATGAATAATGTATATATTAAATTAATGGGTGTATATTTATAATTTTTTAATAATACATTTTAAAACTGATTTCAAATTTGAAAATACTTTCAAAATATAAGTATAGTATAGGTGTATTCATTTGCGATTTTAATTTTTTAAAATTTTTAAATTTTAAATAATTATATATATATATATATATATTTTTTTTATTATTATTATTATTTTTTTTTCGGAAAGCCAGAATGTTCTCAATTATTAGTGTCCCATGAAATGAGGTGGAGATATACTTATGGCCAAGCCCACAGCTGTAGCTCTTGTCATTTTCTTTAAATCTGTCATGCCCAACAACATGTGTTTTTTTTTTAGTATTTATAATTTTAAATATTTTTATTATACAATATAAAGAAATACAATGGAGGATAATATTTTCTTTGTCTCATCTATCGTGTTTATATTGCTATTTTTATCCGTCTCACACCTAATGTCATTTTTATTTTCTGAAAATTGATTACACATCTTAATTTTATTTTAAATTTTTAAATTTATATATACTTTTTTATTTTAATTAAATTAATTAGTTATCTTATTTTTAATTTATAATTATTTATATTATAGAATAATTATTTTTATTAATACATTTTTAATTATCTATTAATTATGCTTATTCTAATTCTTCGTGTCCACCGTAACTTAGACACTAAGGGGACGTTTAATATAGAGAATGAAGCTGCAAAAAAAAAAAAATGAGAATAAAGAATAATTGAATTGATTGAACATGAACAAATGATTGATCGGACAAAAAAGAGTTTTGACGAGTAGGAATTTATAAAAAAATATTTTAATGACTTTTCAAAAAATTATAAATTATATATAATATTTTGTAAAATTTTCTCTACTGTCGATTCTGTGTATCACACACACCCTAAGTGTGATGGAGGCAGTAGTATTTTTTTTGTATTTTTATTGTTTTTTATTGTTATATGTATTAATATTTTTAGAAATTGTGTAGAAATAAATATTAAGTGATACATTTCTGTTTATGTGTGTATACATACATATATATATATATATATTAAGTTTAATAGTGTCTATTAATAATAGTAATTTTTTAAAATAATATCATATTAAATATATATTTTATATGTCACATTAATAATTACTCAATTTTTTTTTTTTCTATATTCCAAAAAATCTTGATACTTGAGAACTCTAACCCCTATCTAAACTGAATCTGTATAATATAGATAGATAGATAGATAGATAATCATGGATTTTATTTATTTAATTATTTATTTAAATGTAGAAGAAATTTGTATATGGGGATCTACAAGAATTAATGACATATTATATGTAGCTGTCATAAGTGGTGGGATGTGATGTCCCTTTTGGAATTTGGGAAAAATACAAATAAATAGTAAAAATATTGAAAATACTTTTAAGGGTGTATATATCTTACTTCAATTTGATACTTATATTTCATTCATTATAAAATAGTAATATTCATACAGAAAATATTTGTTACAATATAATTTAGATTATTGTTATCAAATATACTCCTCTATCCATAAATTAATATCCTATTTTTTTATTTGAATAACTGTTATTCTATTTCTTTTTTGAAATACAAATTTTATATTTTTACTTTTAATTCATTTATTATTTTTAATTTCTCTTGTACGTCAATTCATAACAAGAAGACAATCACCTAAAGAACCGTGTAAATATACTTTAGGACAATAGAAATTGAACGTTATATTCTAATTTAATTTATAAATAAATAATATCTTATTATTTAGTCGTAAAATTCAACTTTCAACTATACTTTTTAATTTTCAATCAAACACACTTTAATTTTTAATTTGGTAGTTGATCTCATTGCCACATTTAGTCGTATTTGATACTACTTTTTTCTTGGCTTTCATCCACGTGAGATTTTAGTATTATTATTATTTATTTATTTAATCGTCAAATTTGTAAAATTTTGAAGTGAAAAAAAAAAAAAAAAAAAAAAAGACTTGGACCGTAATTTTATATTTTTATTTAATATATGCAATGGAGAGAAATTTAATTACCAGAGGGAAAATAAATGGGTTTTCATTTCTTGTAATTTTATTTTATTTTATTTTATTTTTTTACATGGTTTTTTTTGTAACTTTTTTACATGGTTTTTACATTTATGGTCTGAGGTTGTTCCCCACAGGAAAGACAGGAAGAAAAGAACAACATGATATTAAACAAATGGATCCAAAGAGACAAACAAATATATATATATATATATATGTTTTCGAAACTTGAAACTGCCCACTTCTTACAGGAATAATCAAATCTGTTTACAGAATACCAAGAAAAATAAATTTTCAAAAAATAAAATAAAAAATGAAAATCTATGTAATTAATCTTGCCAATTCTTACAGCCTCTTTCTTCCAAGAAAACTCCCTGTAAAAAAAAAAAAAAAAAAAAAAACCCACAAACTGCAATCAATTGGAGTGCCCAGAAAAGGTTTAAATCATTTTTTTTATATTATATTGTCCATTATTTATTTATTAATTATTATAACTGTTAAATCTTGAAAGTACAGTGAAATTAGTTCAAACAATAATTATTACCTGATTTCCCTTTCTTGGAAGATTTGTAGAATCCCAAGTGCTTCTTTGGTATGGATTCTTCCTGAAAAATAACAACAACAATATTTTTAAAAAAATATATTCACTATTCAATTTTTATAATTATTCAAAAACCTCTATAATTTTCATCTCAATTTAAAAAATAAAAATACTTTGTACCTCAAAATGTGAAAAGCCATAATCTTGATTATCATTATTTCCCACATTGCCCTAAAACCAATCCATTCAACAAAATATCAAATATATAATTACCAAATAATAATAATAATAATAATTAGAATTAGAATTACCTTTGAGAAATGGAAGAATGGAGAGGTAGCAGTGTCATGAGTTTCAATGTCATCAAAGGACAGGTTGTTCTTCTTCTTCTGATTTATTTTTTCATCACTACAACTGATTTTCTTTTTGGGTTTTCTAATTACATCATCAGAAGAAACATGGTTGTAATGATAATTACAATTATAATAATAATAATTATTATAATCACAACCATATTCTTGATTTTGAAAATGTGGGGAGGATGCATCAGACACCATTGACAGATCTTCATCTTCTTCGTCTTCATCTTCTTGATCATAATTCTCTTGAAGATTGATTTGATGACAATATCCATCCATGGAAGAAAACCCTAATTTGTGTTGTTGAAAATTGTCGGAATTCGAGACCTCATCAAAGTAGACAGTCCATCCAGATTCACACCCACTGCTGCATTCAGACAACCCTCCTGAAAAATCATCATCCATTTCTAAATCTAATAATTATATATATAAAATAAAATAGATTTATATGTGTATATATGTATATATATATATATACAGTATAAGATAATAATATGAGGATCAGTGATGGATGAATAATGGATAAGTAAAAACACTAGTGCTGTTGCTCCCTCTCTTTGTATCTCATATATATATATATATACCGATAAAAATTAATTAATTTGGAATTTTGAAAAATTTTAGAAACAACCAAAAGTTAAGGGTATAATTAAAGGGTATAGTATAATTATACTTATTTCGTCGGATAATAAAGTATCCATTTTTTTTATTTTAATCCGTCTCATATCAAAGTATTTATTTCCTTTTTTAATAACTGTACTATCTACCTAACATTACAAATACTCTTACAACTTACAATATATTACACAAATATCATTACTTTTATATCACACATACTAATAAGATTATTTTAGTCATTTCTACTTTATTCTTACTACATCCAAATATAATACTAATATTTTTAAAACTACGTGAAAAAAAATAGATATTTAGTTACGTGACAGAGGAAGTATAATACTTCATTGTATTTTTAGTAAAAATACAGTATTTTACTTATTACATGAAACTTCCTTTTAGTAAATTAAAGTACACAAAATCTTATTTGTGTAAAATTGATGTTTAATGGTAAACACGCCTAATTATATAATTTTTATAGAAATTAAAAAGGAAAATATTTTTTTTTAAACAAAAATATTAATAAATAATACTAAAAGTTTGAAAATGTGTATATTACAATATATATATATATATATATTGTAATTGTAATATATGGAGGTAGGAAGAATCAAAGGTGCCAGTTGTCCTGGTGGATAGGTTTGGCCATTCAAGACAAAAAACAAAAAATAGAGTTTTTAAAAACAATAATAATAATAATAATAATAATAATAATAATAAAAAGAATTAATTAGGCTCTAATTTTAAATTTTTAATTTGTTATTCTACTATTTATCAAAAGTTTTCTTTTCTAAGATTGCAAATCAAATATTTATATTTTGATTAATATATTATATAAAAATTAATATATTATTTAAAATGTTATATTAAATGCTATTTCAATTTAAAACTTACGGTTAAAAAAACATTCTTTTTAAAGATTTGATTTAACTTTTTTCCGTACAATTTTATTTTATTTTTTATAATTTTCAATAAAATATTGTATTTTTCTTGTAAAGTTTCACACACAAATATTAATTGTTTAAATATAAATAAAAATTTATCAATGTGTGTAGTTCTTAGTTCACACAACCATAATTTCAAAATCAAGAATTAAATTATGAAATGTGACTCAAAGTGATGAAATGAATAAATATAGGAAATTAATTGGGCTGTGAAATGAAATACTAACTCTATAATGATCAAAGTGCATTGGGATTCACATTATTAATTAATTAATTAATTAATAATAATAATTAAAAATAATTAAGCATAGAATATTTATTAATTTATTGAAAGTGGAGAAAATAATTTGGCTCAGTATTTTTACAGCCACTTTTGTCCCAAACTTTTTTTTGACTTCATCATAAAGGGCATTAAACTGCTGTCATTTTTTCTTCTAGCCTACAAATAGATAACTAGATGTACCAAAAGGCTTTTGTTTGGTTGTAAATTATAGATCCAATTTTTATTATTTAAAAAATAAAATAAGAAATTATTTAATGATATATGGTTTGTTGTGTTTAAATCGATGTATTTTTTATATTATGTATGAGAAACTGAGTTAGTAACATAAAATAATAATAATAATATATTGTATTGAATTGTTGATTTTTTATAAATGAATAAAAAATATTTTCTCTGTCTTAAACACTGTGCAATATTTGTGTTTGACACAAAAATTTAAGTAGAAAGTATTAAGTACGGTAATTTGAGATAATTTGGATATTAACTGATGTCATTAAAGAAATAAATGATTATTTGTTTTTTTTTTTTATTTGAGTGATGTGATGGGATAAAGTGAAGTATATATTAAGTTATGTATATAAATATTATTAATATTTCTAAATTTGGAAATATTACGGTGAGTTTGGGACAAATAAAAAAAAAATATTGTAGGATGATTGGGACGGATGGAATATATATTATATACATGGTATAAGAGAAGATATATATATATATATATATATTTGATATATTTATTTTTAATTAATATTGTAAGTAAATAATACCAAAAGTAATGTAAGTATATAAAAGGGGCTTAATTATTGAGTGATGAATTAATTAAAATAAATAAAATTAAATTAAAGAATGAATAATTGGGTTGTGTGCATTCATGTATTTAATGTGGGGTAGGTTAGATGGTGTGAAATTAAAGATGAATTTATTAATGCATGGAATGGAATGGGCCATCCAATATATATATATATATACATCTCATTAATTTTGCTAATTTTATTTGTGACATAATTTTTTATATAGTACTATAATTATATATATATGATAATTTTCTATTGGAATTGGTTTGTAGTTTGTATTATTTTTTTAGAAAAAATTGTAAATAGAAAAAATAAAATATTTCAAATTAAAATTTATAGCAAAAAATTTGAATAATATATGGTTTGTTCATTTTGTGTTTTTGGATGGATACATTTCTTTTATGTTGGATGTGAAAAGTTGTGTTTGTAATATCAAAAAATAATATTTTTTTATTGAATTATTAATTTTTTTGGGAGGGAATAAAATATATATTATACTTCTTCCATTCTAATTCAAAATATCATTTTTATATTTTTCATCCGTCAACTTCAAAGTATCTCTTCCTAAAAAATAATCACACTAATACCAAAATATCTTTAATTTTTACTTAAATTACACAATTAATTATTTTATACATAAAGTCTAAGAACAAAAATGTCAACAATTTCTTACATACTTTCATTAATGAATAAAATACTACTCCCTCCGTCTCATATAATATGAGTATATTACTGTAGACGCAGAAATTTAGATAAAGTATAATTAGTAAGTAATTAAGAAGTGTATTAGTAAAAATAATTATTGTATAGTAAAAATAATTATAGATTAAGATTAAGATAACTAAATAGTTTAATTAAAATTTTAAAAATTATAAAATTTAAAATGTGATTAAAGTGTATAATTATATCTAAAAAAAAGACAAATTATATAGGACGAAGGGAATATTATTTTTTAATTTATTATAAAACTCCAAAAGACACTACTAAATTACGACGAAAATAGTGTATTATATTAATATGTGTATATTTTATTTTTTAATAATATTTATAAAAAATGATTTTAAAATAATAATAATAATAAATACTAAGTGAACAATAATACACATGAAGGTCAGCTGAGGCCTAAGGGTACATATGATTATAGGCCCATCATGTGATTTCTGCTCACATTATGCTTATGTATATATATATATATATATATATTTAATTAATTCACCACAAATAGACTTTTTTTATATCACATCTGCACTTTTTTATCAATAAATATTTAGCCCTGTTTAGTTTTTTTTTTTTTTTTTTTTTTTTTGTTTATTATTATTTTTAATAATAATATTAATAGTAATAATAATAACAATATCCCACATGCATAAGATCCCTCCAAATATTTGGAGGTTAATTTATTACAACTAATGAGAAAACAAGACAATAAAATCTTGATAGTCAAAATAAATCCAAATATTTGCACTTTTTATGGCTAGATTTTTATTAAATATTTAAATTAAAATGATATATATATATGTATATGTATAGTTGAGTGAAGTGGTCCCTAATTTTTCACTTGCACATGCAAGCCCTTTAATTTGCAGCTCCCTACTTGCTACAAAATCCATTTTTCCAATTATTCCAATAAATATTGAATTTATATATATATATATATATGATTATGATATTTATGTAAGAAGAGAAGAGAAATTGATTAAATGAATTCATATTTGAATTTAAAATTTTAGTTTGAATAGTGATTGAATGTGATGTTTTGTAAAACAAAATAATACGCCTTCCCGTGACCTAAGAAGAATATTATTTATTTTTTGTAAGGAGATTTTTTAATATTAGTATTAAATTGATTTGTAGTTAAAAAAGATAATAACTCTATTAATATTGTATAATACATTGTAAGAATATTTATTATGTTAAATAGATAGTACAATTACTAAATTAAAAAATAATATATTTATTTTAGAACTGACAGAAATTAAAAAATGGTACATTTCTTATTGGATGAAAGAAATATATTTTTTTATTGAACCGTAACAACTGAATAATAAAGAAGCTCAAAATAAGATTTTGGTGCAATAATTTTGAAATAAATTTAAAGATGATATGACCATTGGTGTTTGGCTTGTAATTTTAAAAATAATTATTGAATGCCATATTTTAAATAGAGTTAATTTATAATAAGAATAATAATAATAATTTTAACCAAATTATTTTTAGTATCGACTACAATATGGGAAAAATAATGTTAAAAATAAAATAAATGTATTAAAAATAATTTGTGATAATGAAAAAAAAAAAAAAATTAATAGTGTGGGCTATAGGAAATGAAATTATATGTATATATACATTAATTAGTGAAGTATGGGCTTGGGTGATATGTACAATTCAATTCTCCCATTTGTCAAAATGACTATACCTACCTACCTTTCCAAACCTCACTTCACTACAAATCATCCTTTTTTTTTTTTTTTTTTTAATAAATATTTTAAGTCAAAAAATAATATTCTCTCCGTCTCAATACAATAGTCTTGTTTACCATTTTTGTCCGTCCCAAAACAATAGACTTATTTCCATAAATAACTATATCACCATAAAACTATCCATACCTTTTCATTTTTATTACACAATTGCTACGATTTTTTACACTAATACACTTACAAGGATAAAAAAGTTTTTTATCCATACTTTTTATCAACTACCAATATAATATCAATATTTCTTAAATCTCGTGTCCAATCCAATTAAAACTATATTTATGGGACTAATGGAGTATATATATATATATTTAAACTGCAATTGTTACTTAACAAAAAAAAAGTAAAATCAAATTAAAAAGAACAAAATCATACTACTCTATGAATTTTATTTATTATACACTATTTTTTTCAATCCTTAAAACATTATATCCTATCCAAATTA